CAACGTCTCTCAATGCACAGGGTAAGTCATTTCCTACTTTGGGACGTGGGTACATGACAGGCATTTCCATCTCGCCTGGTCGTGCATCGACATCCAGGGAGATATGGAGTACATATACAAGGCCCGTGCTCCTATGTACTCGGAAAGTGGTGACTCCCTGGCCGGAGAATTGTTGCACGCTGTACTTGATCATTGCTCAAGAGATTTCATCTTGGACGAGGAGGCCTGGTCACAGAAACATGTACCAATAGTCGTTGCGCGTGCTCCAGCGTCCATTGCCATGGCTGCTATAATAAGTGGAAAGAGCAAAATACGGGAAATGGAAAAGCAGCAACTGTGAAACTTGCAGGCACCGGGATGGTCGGCGGATGCGCGGGCTATTTTCATCTAGCCTATCCTGCGTGTCCGTAGCATCACGGCCTGCAAGGCATTGATGTCCTGTGGGAGAAACTCCGAACTACCTTGGTATCGTTTTTTGGATCTGTTTATCATGTATCATGCCTCGTTTGACCATTTGTCCACCTTCCCATCTATTCAGCACCGTAGCGTGCCCGATAATCCTTCAACCGCTGGATCTCCGTGGCGCCAATCTGGTCACCCAGCTTTTCGATCAAGTCATGCAGACCGATGACTGACCGGATCGGGATGTTCCCACCGAGGTCCCTCTGCGCGACACCAATAGCGCTCTTTGGCTCAGCATCGCTCACTCGCTCCTCCCGGTCCAGTAGGACCACCACACCAGCGACGATTCCTCCTTCCTTCTCAATGATGCCGACGGCCTCACGCAGTGCAGTGCCCGCGGTGATAACATCGTCCACAATAACCACGCGCTTGCCCTTAAGCGGGGCTCCGACAATGTTCCCACCTTCTCCGTGTGCCTTGGCTTCCTTGCGGTTGAACGAGTAGCTCACATTGTCCCAGGTGCCCTGGGGCGAGGCAGCTAGCGAGTCCCGCACCGCAAGTTCGTTGGTGACTGCCGCGCAGATCGGAATGCCCTTGTAAGCCGGTCCGAAGATGATGTCGAAGTTGGGTTTTGTGATCCCATCGGCGTTGGTGGTGACAAATGGCTCTGCGGAGAGCACACTGGCGTAAGCGGCGGAGGTGGCACGCAGCAAGGGAGCGGTGTGCAGGAGAGAGGAGGTGAAGAAGTAGGGCGACTCGCGACCAGACTTCAGGACGTACGTGCCGAAGGAGAGCACATTGTTGGAGATCAGAAGAGGAAGCAGGCTCGCCTTGTAGTCCTGGTTGGCGGACGGCGGGGGGATGGTGGTGGTTGACATCGTCTATTCACTGCCTTTGCCGGGGCTATCTTGCGATATCAAAAAAGGAATTGAAGATTCAGCTGCGAAGCCCCGCTGGGTCGAATTAAAGGAAGTGAGATTTGCCAAGTGCAAGCGGAGCGAAAGCGGCGAAGGAAAAATTTCCCGGGAGACCCTCTTTTTCGCTCGGAGGGGCAACGGAGGGCTTATTTCGGGCAGTTCAGCACCAACACCGTGTCTTTGGAAGCATACAGTTAGTCAGAAAGACAGATAGGTCGTGCAACTCAAACCGAGCACGCCGACTGACTTTGAGGCTCATCGTTGCTCTCGTGGACAGTCCCAGGGCAGGGCAGAACACGTGCTTTTCCTCCCCCGCCAAAACCTCGCCCCTCCATCTTCCCGCTTCTTGTTGCTTCACTGCCTCGCCATTGTTTCCTTCTGTTGTTTGGTTTCGGGTTCTCTTTGTTCTTTGTTGAGTTGGCCTATTTGGTGCTCGACATTTATCGCAGGGGAGTATTCTACCCTGTCATCCCCTGCAATACCATTGTTGCAGACTCTGCCCCGCCTCGCCGGTGTCTGTCGCAGCCCCGAAGAAGGACCCAATTGAACTACATCCTAGCCTGTGGTATGGTTAAGCCCCTCCGTCCGGCTTCTTAGAAACCCTTCTCGGTCGGACAATTCGCTAATGGAAAATCCCTCCTGCATAGGTTGACGCGACACCATGCATATCCGAGAGAAGCTGATGCAGAACGAGGCCGCTGGGCAACCAGGGATCTCGTTTGAGTTTTTCCCACCCAAGACCGCTCAGGGTGTGCAGAACCTCTACGACCGCATGGATCGCATGCACGGACTGGGTCCTTCGTTCGTCGATGTCACTTGGGGGGCCGGTGGCCGCCTATCGGACCTGACGTGCGAGATGGTTGGCGTGGCACAATCGGTTTATGGGTTGGAGACGTGTATGCATCTGACATGTACAGACATGCCGCGGGAAAAGGTCGACCAAGCCCTCCAGGCTGCCTACAAGGCTGGTTGCACCAATATTCTGGCCCTTCGAGGTGACCCGCCGCGAGAGAAGGAAAACTGGGAAGCTACGGAGGGAGGCTTTCGCTATGCCAAGGATCTGGTCAAGTACATTCGGGAGAAGTACGGTAACCACTTCGACATTGGCGTGGGTGGTTACCCGGAGGGCGCCGACGACAACGCGGACGTGGATCAACTTATCGATCACTTGAAGGAGAAGGTTGATGCCGGCAGCTCCTTTGTGATCACACAGATGTTCTATGACGTGGACAACTTTATCGAGTGGGTTAAGAAGTGCCGGGCCAAGGGCATCGATATTCCAATCATTCCCGGTATCATGCCCATCCAGACATACGCCTCGTTCATTCGGCGGTCCAATTGGACCAAGACTCGCGTACCCCCGGATTGGATGGAGTCACTTGAGCCCGTCAAGAACGATGATGCGGCCGTTCGGAATATTGGGAAGCATCTGATCGCAGAGATGTGCCGAAAGCTCATGGCTTCCGGTATCAACCACTTGCACTTCTATACCATGAACCTTGCACAAGCAACACGGTTGGTTCTGGAAGAGCTTGGTCTCGCACCATCCGAGGAATCTCCAATTCAACGGCCTCTGCCATGGCGGCCGTCGCTTGGATTGAATCGCAGGGATGAAGATGTGCGCCCAGTGTTCTGGCGGAACCGAAACTCGTCGTATGTTGCGCGTACACAGACGTGGGATGAATACCCGAACGGTCGCTGGACCGACTCCCGTTCGCCTGCGTTTGGTGAACTCGATGCGTACGGCGTCGGTCTCAAGGGCACAAACGAGCAGAATATCAAGCTGTGGGGTGAACCGAAATCGTTCAAGGATCTGTCCGACATCCTTATCAGCTTCCTGGAGGGCAAGCTGGATCGCTTGCCCTGGAGCGACTCGCCGATCACCGCGGAAGCAAATGCCATCAAGGATAAGCTGCTCGCTTTGAACCGCAGGGGCTTCCTGACGATCAACTCTCAGCCTGCGGTCAATGGCGTCAAATCTTCTCATCCTATCTTCGGCTGGGGCCCCAAGAATGGGTTTGTCTACCAAAAGGCATACTTGGAGCTTATGGTGCCCTCCTATCTGATCGATGAATTGATTGCGCGTATCGAAAAGAACGAAGATCTCACATATCATGCCATCAGCAAGACTGGCGAGCTGAGAACCAACACGATCGACAGTCCGAATGCGTTGACCTGGGGTATCTTTGCTGGGCGAGAAATCATCCAGCCGACTATCGTCGAGACGATCAGTTTCCTTGCCTGGAAGGACGAAGCTTACCAGCTGGGTGAGGACTGGGCCAAGTGCCACGAGGCCGGAAGCCCCAGTCGCAAACTGATCCAGCATGTGATGGACGACTGGTACCTTGTCAACATCGGTAAGATCATCCATATCCCTTTTAACTGATTTTTTTTTCCTGACAAGAATGGAATATAGTCGACAATGACTTCCACAGAAATGATGCCGTCTTTGATCTCTTCGACAACCTAGAAATCAAGGATCTCGATGTCGAGATCCCTGGAAAACCAGAAACCAACGGCACCACGGCAATCAATGGCACTGCTCAGCAGAACGGGGCACCCAAGAACTAAACCCTTCTTTCTTTCTCTCCCACTCAACCGGGATTCAGGACTCTGTTCCAACAAGAGCTCCTGGCACTCGAGCTCTCTCAATCCAAGCTCACCTCTTCCACCCTACTCAACTCCCACCACTACCATGGCTCTCACCTAATTTCAACATCACCATTCTCAACGATACGAAGTCCCGAACAAAAGAGAACAATTCATCCAACACCGTTCTCGGGCATGATTTGCAATGCGTCATGGCGTCACGATTGAAGACCTCTCAACGATTTCTTCCTGAGCGTTTCCACCTCAGTTCCTCATTTTCAACATTTACACATTTCTCATGTACCGATACCCCGTCTCTTTAACAATAACGGTGTGCGTCTCTACTTCTTTCTTCTCTTCTTGTTTCATCTTTTCTTCCCAGGCCTGGTGCTTGATCTATCTTCTGGACTACTGCTACCTTGCACATTTAACATTGTACGGGGCAACAACATGCGTGTATCCACCAGAGAGAACGGGAGGACCAAAAAATATTTCGGCTAAGAGACACCCCAAAAAATCATTCAACATCATAATCACTAACTCCAGGAGGTGGCACTGCCCCTTCTCTCTCTCTTCACCTTTTTGTATCCAGTCGTTGGATTTTGTCTAATAGAACTCGTTTGCAATTGAAGAAGATCTTGTCATGTAAGTCACGCGTAGGGTTTACTGGTTTTTAATGTTGTCGTAATCGCTTTAGGTCAGGATTTCAGAGTAAATTGCAAGGTTGGTCTTGCATCCAAGATTCGCTGTAATGCACCATTGAAACCACTAGGGATTATTGCTGGAAAGGTAACAGGTGGAAAGGAAGTATGGGCTGCTCTGCGTATATAGATAGGAATGACAGTATGGATAGAGCGCAAACAGAAAAACCAAGTCAGAAATGAATGTAAGTCCCATCCTGGAGAGCCATCAACACCGACCGAAAAACACCATCCATAATCCACCACCACAAAGAAACCCCATGGGAAACAAAAAAATTAGAAACCGAAGCAGACAGAAACAGGAAAGCAAAATGCAACGCTTATCGAAGAACTCAGTCTTGCATATCCCACATCCAATCTCGTAGTCCATCAGAAAGAAAGAATAGTTATACTAAAACACAGCTCGGCCGACGCTCTGAACGGTCCAAGCAAAAGGTCTCGCAAACCAGACGACCCAGCTGCCCACCAGAACGACGTAGCCTGCAACCCGTCCGATGACCACAGCGCCGAAGCCCAGAACAAACAGATACACAATAGCCTGCAGCAGTTCAACCAGGAACCTACTGATAGCTTGGTCGTTGCGGGGCTTGGGCCAAGATCCTGTAGACTGGTACTGGGAGACAGCGCGGAAGATACACATGAACACGCGGTAGCAGTGGCGAGCCATGTTCATGATACTGTTCAGCACGGATTTGACGTGCGGGTTATCGACCCAGTTGCGGAAGTTTCGGTGGATGTACGAGGCTATGGCGACGGCGAGCTCGAATACCAGTGACAGTGCCACTGGATTGAAGGCGTCTTTTACATCCTTGACGGCGATTGCCGTGTCCAGCGGAGATGTATCCTTGCGGGAACTGTGCTTCTCCTTGGGCTTGTCTTTGCTGGAGTGTCGCTTCTCGCGAGTCGTGGTCTTTTCCAGCGATCGGACCTCACGCGCCTCGGCACGAGTTTGTGCAGTGTTGGGTTTAGGGATCTCTTTGGACAACCTGGATGTCTCTTTGGACAATTTGGACGCTTCCTTGGGCAACTTGGGTGCTTCCTTGGGCGCTTCCTTGGGCACTTTGGCGGCTTCCTTGACAGGTTTAGGTGCTTCCTTGACAGGTTTGTGTGCTTCCTTTGCCACCTTAGGCACCTCCTTCGGAACTGGAATTGACTCCTTTGGATTAGACACCTGCTGACCATCCAGTTCAGCGATTTCCACGACCTTAGCAGTCCGAAGCAAAGAGTGAACCATGGTGTGGTCCTCCTTGATTGAAGACGGCGGCGTAGAGTCCTTCGCCGAGTAGAACGATTTGCTGGATTTGGACGAGTCAGAGTTGTCCCGCGACGGAGGCGCTGAGAAGGTAATCGAGGACGGTTTTCGTGTAGGATCCGGGAGATGAAGAGAGCCAACCCCAGTGCGAATGATTGAAGTCAGGCCGTCACTAGGCGACTTGACCAGCCCGGAGGTACGGATGAACCCACGGATACCGCCTGAACCTTGCCTTATGTTTGGGGGTCGTTCTTCTTTCTCTTTCGCGTCGACCTTGGCGGGAAGAGCCCTGCAGAGCTGTGTTGTTTGAGAGTGTGTCATCTTCGGCCCGGTTGAGCTTGTGAGCGACGCTGGAATCGCGGGTCGTAGCCCAGAAGGAGTGGTGGACACCATCTGAGGCTTCGCGCGGACGGCCTTCATGGCCTCGCCGGTGACGGCGTGGCCATTTCCAACAGAAGGACGTCGGATTCCTTGCGGTTTTGGATACAGGGCTTTCTTCTCGGTCGTGGGAATCCAAGTGCGTGTGATAGTGGGTGTGATAATGAACACATCGTCGCCTCGGGGATCGTCGTCCGGGATCTCCGGCAGGCGGGAGTGGCCAGTAGGGTGGGAGTTTTCCTTGTTCGAGTTCGAGTTCTGAGAGGTTTCTCTTGATCCCTCGTGTTGCTGGCAACTGTGATCCCGGCACATCGTCCTGGACGATGGCTTCGAGCATTGGACATGCTTCATATTCCGAGAAGTTGGTGCCCACTCGTTTTGAAGGGCGGCCTTCTCTGCTGTCCGCACCGTACGATGGGCAGCTGGTGCGTTCTGCTCTTCTATCTGCCGGCTCTTCAATTCGTACTTGGGCGGAGCGTGTTGAGGATCTGAGCTGGTTTCGTCGGAGAATAGAAGGATTTCGTCTGGGTTCTTCTCCCCCGGAGCGAGAATAGTATCTTCTCGGGGCTGCTCCCGAGGCTGCTCCCGGGGCCCATTGATCTGTTTGCATCCTAAAAAAGAACCGTCTGCCGCAGAGGATCGTTTGTCTTTACTTTTCGAAGGCGACGACTCTTCCCAAATCGTGCTAAATCGTTTCTTCCCAATTTCATCCGGGCTGTAGTAGCCAGGTGGGCCCTGGGGTTGAGCTGGAGTTGCTAGTTGCTGGTTGGTCTCTGGCAAAGATGGCATAGGACGCCCGTCGTAGGCTTTGAAAGGGCCTGTCTTCTGGTCTTGGTAAGCACCTGAGTTCGCTTTCACTTTGGGAGACGACCGTGGGGGACTAGGAAGAGCGTCAGGATCAACCATCTGTCCACCACTCCGATGCACTTTTTCGATACTCTGCTGATACTGGGCTATCTGGTGCGCGGTCATCGTTGGCGGATTGGGATCTTTAGCGGTCGGCATATGAACAACGAATCTGTCCTCCCATTCGGTCATTGAGCTGTCCTCAGCAGACACGGGCGAAACTGACGGATGGGATTGTCCGCTGGAATCAGTGGTATGCTCTATCCTTTCGGACCTCTGTGGCATGATGTCGTTGGGCTCGGCATCCACGCAGAGGTCGCCATGTTTCCGCCATTTCGTTTCGCTCTCCACCTGTCGATGAGCACTGGTTCGAGTGTGGCGCGCAAGATTGTTGTTGCTGCTGCTGGAAACCGCAATATCAGTTCGAAGACTGGCTCCGTGCGTGACGAACAGATCGTCTTCGGTGTTGGTTTCGTATTTGTTCTGGTACCAAGATTTCTGCGCCTGGTTCGTGCTTTCGGTGTTGTACTCTTTTGGAGATTCTTTGTCATTTTTACCACGGATCTTCCGCCAGTATTGGTCCCGATCCTTCGCCATAGATTCAGCTTCTGCCCCTTCGTTTCGAGCTGAAGCCGAACGGATTGAAAGTGGCGCTGGTCGAGGTACTGAACTTGAAGAATGCAATTCTCCTCGTGGATCCTTGTTCTTGTCGGCCAAGGCCTTTGGGAGTGGAAGTTTGGTGGCTTTAGACCTGCGGAGGTTGCCCGCCGCTGCTGGTGTGTATGGAGACGGGGTCGCTGCTGAAAGCTCGGTGATATTATTGTATTCGGCTCGATATGCTTTGTAGGGGCTGGGCTGCTGAGGCCGTGGATGAAGATTCACGCAGTGTCCCTCCGGTAGTTTGACGGTTGCCATGTTGGGCCGAGGGCTCTGGGTATTAACGGGCCCGACTCGCAAGCCAGATGGGATCCGTCATCTGGCCCATGCCGTCCAAATGCAGTGCTTGCTTTCCGGGGTCGTGAAGTGGCTGTCCCGGATTAGGTGGTAATGTCGGTCTTGAGGGTCTGGCGAGGGGCGTCGGGACAGGACAAATGGCAGACGCAGAGAACCGGTGGGGGCACGGGTCCCAGACCAGCTGCGGAGTGCCCAATAATCGCGTTCTAACACGCGTAAGGATAGAGTGTGGTCATGAACTGGAATGTTATGCGGCCCGCGGTGAAGAATGCTGCCAGCCCCCGGGGCGGAATGCTCGACAATAGACCCCGCCGTCATCTGGTATGGATAGTATCTGCCCTGGCAGTCGCGTGTTAGGGTTGGGCTCGGACGTGATTGCATCATTTGGAAGTTACGAAGCGGTGGTTGTGGTGGTTGAAGCGGAAAGCGCCAGCCGCGGATTGACAACAATCTTGCATCGGTGTTTTGGTCAATGTTATGGTATAACATTGTCCACCAATAAGCTCACATTTAGCAATTCGTATCTCGTACATGGATTGGTCCTTTAACGTCAGGTTGCATTTTTGCGTGTGGAAGGGCTGCAGTCCAGGAGGGGTGAAAGTGGCAAAAGAAAGCGAAGTCAAGCATGCCCTGTCCAACTGCATCGGGGAAATCGTCAAGTAAGATATGTACGAGGGGAGTTTCTTTCCGAGCATTCCCCTTCTCAGGTGGGCGTGCATTAGTTAGGCCTTGCTCGCATATGACGCATTCGAGGGAGAAAAAAGGTCACGTAGAAAATGTGTTGATCAATTCGTCCTAGAAGCGGCCCGTTTCTCGACGGGCACCCAAACTACCTCCTGGTCTATGCACGCCAACCGCAGGACTCGCGGGTCCCGGCACGCTGGTGCGCTTGAGAGGACTCGACGGCTTCTTCAGTGGACTCGTGCCGCGCTCCTTGTAAAAGAAATCACCGTTGCTTTGCAGTCGGCGGTCAAAGGCAGTCGATGCCGACTTGCGCAGAGGGGAATTAGCATGGGAGTAAACTCCCAGGCTGCCTCCGTCGCCCGTACTGGTGCTGGCCGATGGCCGGAACTGCGGCTGTCGCATTGCGTTGCCCGAGGTTCGCACCAGGGGGAAGCGTCTCGCGAAAGTTGTGGTGTGTTCAACGATGGCTGCGTTTGGAAGATGGTAGAGCTGGGCGTAGAGTAGGCGGTGGCTTGGCGCCTGGGAGAAAGTCCTTCGGGATCGACATGGCTCAAATAGTTCGGGTTTGGACTGGTCTTAAATCCACCTTGGATATTGAAGGCCGGGGTATATACGTCGACCTTGTTGTATTTGGTGTCGGAACTTCCAGCACTCGTATCAGAGAACTGTGTGCCAACGTCGCGCATCAAGGGCTGGGTCCGTGGATGCACGAATTTGGTGTCATATTCCTTCAGAACCTCCTTGTGCACCAAGGTCAAATCCTTGGCTTGCTGCTTGTGGAAATATGAAAGGAACGACAGCTGGGCAGAGAGCACCGATGCAAAGAGGATAGTCGTCACTATCGTCACACTGGGGCGAGGATCAGAAAGCTGCGTCGGCAGCAAAAGCCAGTAAATCATGACATGTCCGGGGCTGAACAAGCAGAACAATCGTAAACAGATCGGTAAGGGATCCCAAACAGAAAGCTGCCAAACATCGCGGTGTGCGTCCGGATGTGCCCTGGACTCTGCTGGCTCTGTGGAAAGCGCATTGGCGAGATATCGTATCGGCGACGCGATCATGGGACTCGAATCAACTCGCACTCGTTGAGCAGATGGTGTCGCAGGTGTCTTGTCAATGGCTGCTTCAAACAGGCGATATGATCTTGTTTTGTAAAAGGTGTAGGTAGCATTGGCGAACGAAATCAAACTTAGACATGAAGTGGTAATCGATGCCTGTGCGCACAGAGTTTCCCGTTAGTCTCAAATAACCCTGACATGACGAAAGCTGCTGCGCGACAACTTACCAGCCAGCTACCCCAAGCCACGCCACTTTCCTCCCCAAACACGTCGTCAATGGCTTTGTTCCCACTCGACTGACTGTTTGCTCGCGCGATGACAAACATCGCATTCAGCGCAATCCCAATAGCCATCCCCCAGTCCTTTTCCAGTTGGTCCCAGTCATTTCCTTCGATCTCCTCAGACACCCAGAGTAGAAAGTCCCAAGGGTTCAAATAGGATCCAATGCGCTCCGCCAGTGGACGGCGGCGGACGAGGCGGGGCATGGTGATAATGGAGAGAAACGGACAGAGCTGGTCCTCGGCAGCTTCCTCCGATGCAAAAGTCCGTGGAGGACAGAGTTGAGTTGTGTCGGTTGGGATGCAGACGAGAGAAGTGTAAACAAAAAAGGCTGACATCAGTCTGCTGACTCAGCCCCGTGATAAGGATCGGGAAACGACAGCTCGAGCGACTTGTTCTCTTATTCACATCTCTCCTTTCATCATGGCGGCATCGGCCGCTTCATACAAGGTACTTGAGTCTTGGTCACTTGTGAAAACATCGCTAATTACACTTAAATGCAGGACCGGCAATTCCTGGCCGTCATTGGCGACGAAGAGTAACTCCGCCAGTGTCCCGCTCTGGTTGATCCCCAAGCTAACCTACGACCCATGCAGCTCCGTCACCGGGCTTCTGCTTGCAGGTATTGGGGTATGTGCTGCAATACAATCACTGCCAGCTGCCAGAGGAACCAAATCAGGACGCTGACGCTTGTCTCCTGTCTAGCACGTCACCGATCCGCCGGATTCCCAGCGAAACTTCCTCGTTGTCGATTCCAAGACCGAGACCTCGGAGATTGAGCGCGCCTTTGAGAACTTCACACAGGAGCGGAAAGACATCGCTGTTGTCCTGATCAATCAGCATGTGCGTTACCCTTTGCCCTTTGCTTGGATACGACTGGGAGTTCTTTCGTCTGACACATCTCTTCTACTATGCAGATCGCGGAACGTATCCGTCACAGCGTCGACTCATTCGCCGACCCCTTCCCTGCTGTGCTGGAGATCCCCAGCAAAGATCACCCCTACGATCCGGAGAAAGACAGCGTGCTCAAGCGGGTGCGACGACTCTTTGGCGAGTAAGGTTGTGGAAGAAGTGCTGTTATTTTCGGTTGGTGAAGAGGTGGCGTGTGCATCGCTTGGAGCTACATGGTCCTATGCAGACTTCTACGGCCCTCTGCTTGTTTCAGGTCTTGTGGATAGTGCAGCCTGCTTGAGCTGGCTCTGGGGCTAGAGTTGATCGAATGCTTTAGAGGGAAGATACCCGTCATGTTTGAAATGAGTATGCATATAAAAACCAAATATATTCGGCCTCTAGTCAATATCCCATTGTAGGTGCTGGATTATACTGAGTCTCAAATACACGAGAGGTGGGTGCATGGGCTTGAAAATAGTCCCGATTGTTGGATGATAATGCGAAGCAAGCCATAGAACGAAAACATGATTATCACCGGTGATGTGGGCGAAACAGGAAATCGAGTGAGAAAATGCTGGGAGTAACAGAGAGGGTCGTGAGGAACGGCGTGGGTGACGTGGATAAGATAATCAGAGAGCTAGGGGCATCTTGATGGTAGAACAGGCGGAAGAAAGCCATTTGTTGTGCAACGTAACTGCAGAGCGATGATCGATATATCAAACAGGTGTATTACATCTTAAACTCGAGGTTGTCGGCCTTGAGGCAGGTCACCTGCCGCTGATCCTTGGTGTAGACATCGGCCAGAACAGAGTATTTGCCCTGGTCTCAATCAGTATGCGAGATAACTGAGAACGCAGAGTGACTTACCGGCGGGATCTGCTTGGGCAAGTCCACTTTCTTCGTCAAGACCATCTTGCCCTTCTCCAGAGGACATGTGAGATCGACATTCTTGATCTGGTCACACAGGTCGACCGTCTGTTTCACCAAGGTGATCAAGCCCCATTTCACCTCCAGGGAGACGGTCGCGCCTTTCTCTATCTTGTCGAGTAAAGTGCCGCTGGCTTTGATGGTGAGAGATTGACCTCTGTTCCTGTTAGTGGAGAGTCATTCCAGACTGGGGAGAGAGAAGACGGACGGTTTAGGTGGGTTGGGTGAGAGGTCCACTTGGTCGATCTGGAGGAGATAATTGGCCGGGCTGGTGCAGTACATCAACGGGTTGTCACCCTTGACTGGGAAATCCTGGGTGGTGTCGACCTTGATCGGGACCTGGGAGGGATCGAAGAATGACACCGAGCCCGCCGAGACTTGGTCGGGGAGCGGAGCGAAGGCAACCAGAGCCACAGCGGCTGATAAGAACTTCATGGCTGCGACCGGGGGGTGGTTGGAGCCGGGGCAGGAATCAGGTCAAGAGGGAGGGGGGTGTGTATATTCAGAAAGAGGCGTAGGCAGAAGGGAAGTGGAAGAAAACACACACAAGTCAAGATGTTGGACAAGGGAATGAATGAGGAACTCTCTGAGGGGAAAGCAGGAACAAGAACCGCCATCGGTCACTTGATGACGCCGGGCACGTGACTGGGGCGGATCGGATTGGTTGGGGTCACTTGATCCTGGGCGGACCCTAATTCGGGAGAGATGATGACAGATAGGGATGGATTAGAGTAGAGGGAGCCGGGCTGGGAGGGTGGTTAATATACTTCATGCTCAAAGCAGATCGTTCGTATGTACGAGCAGGTATTCAAAGTTCACTGATCATATGCATTTATCAAATATATACAAGCACAAGCATCTACAGCATCGCATCACCCCGACTCTAGTGTTCCGAGACAAAAATACCAGCCATACCCATGCCCTATCACAGATTAGAATTGCCACATTTAATACAAGGAGAGTGACTTACCGTTCCAACACACATCGAGGTCACGGCGACCCGCTTGTTCTGCCGGCGCAGTTCCGACAGCGCAGTGACAACTTGGCGCGCACCTGTTGCACCCAAGGGGTGACCGATAGCGCTATCCGCGAGTCAGTGATTAATACTTCGGTCGATCAGAACATGACTTACATGGCACCGCCACGAGGGTTCACCTTGGACTCATCCAAACCGAGCTTGCTCACACAGTAGACTCCCTACCAGCATACGGGTTAGCTCATGTACTACGTCCACTACCCGACAAGGACCCTCCCTACTTACCATCGATGCAAAAGCCTCGTTAATCTCGAAGATGTCGATCTCGTCCTTGCTCAGGCCAAACTTGTTGAGGATCTTGGGAATCGCGAGCGATGGCCCAATACCCATGATCCGGGGCTCCAGACCAGCCACCGTAGCACCGCAAAACTTGCCGACGATCGGCTGGCCCAGCTCCTGTGCCCGCGAGCGCTTCATCAGCACCAGAGCCGCGGCGCCGTCCGTGATCTGGCTAGCGTTGCCGCCCGTGGTGGCACTGGGTGTCCATTGCGGGAAGGCAGCGCGAATCTTGCTGAGTCCTTCGGCGGTGGTGCCGTAGCGGATGCCATCATCCCGGTCAACCACGACCTCCTTCACCTCGCCGGTCTTGGGGTCCTTGACCTGAGTCTTCACCGGGACGATCTCGTCGTCGAGCCACCCGGCCTTCTGGGCACGCTCGGCCTTCTGGTAGCTGTTCGCTGCGAACCGATCATGTTGCTCGCGCGAGATATTGAATTGCGCGGCCACGTTCTCCGAGGTCTGGCCCATGGGCTGCGCGTTCTGCGAGGCAATAGGGTGCGAAGTGACCTTCTCTGACATCTCCGGGGCGCCACCGTCAGCATTGGTGCTCATGCTCTCAGCACCCACAGCCACACCAACGTCGATCGACCCAGCAATGATCTGGTTCGCAATGTTCTGAACGGCCAGCAGACCCGACGAGCAGAAACGGTTCGCAACCGAGGCTGCCGCGGTCACGGGGAAGCCAGCGGCGAGGACGGCGGAGCGGGCGACATAGCCGGAGCCGGGACAGAGGACGTTGCCCACGCAAACATCCTCGACGAGGCTGGGGTCGACATTGGACTTTTCGCGGACAGTCTGGACTCCCAGTCAGATAGATTTCCTACCACAAATTACAAGCACCATACCGTCAAGAGAGAAACTAGGAGAGTGTCCAGCGACGTATCCTTCAATCCACCCTTCCGCGCCTTGGTCAGTGGCGTACGAGCCAGATAGGTGATAACCTGCCACCCGTTCCATTAGCCTCCCCAATCGCGCTTGCGGGGCAGAAAGTACATACCACATCATCCGGGTTTTTAGCGAGAAGCTTCTGCCGAGCAGCTCCAGGAGTGGATAGCTGGTTTGCGACAGAGGATAGCCGTTGTTGTGGCGAGGACATCGTGTAGAACAGATAAAATGTTGTTAGAAAATGGGAGAACAGTTTCCCCACGACTACGGCGCGCTATATTATTTATTCTTCTGGGGGCGGGGGGAATGAACCGCGGCTCCTGGGACTTGTGACTAAAGGAAGAACCGAGCGATTATGCTGTCTTGACCGAGCCGAGCTGGATGTCCGCCGAGCGAGCCCTGAACGGCATCGGATAGCCGGGGCAAATGCCGTCCTGTTCGGACCTGATTATGTATGATACCGTTACACTGCCCACCTCGGCTCTTGATACTTGGCTCTAATTGGTGGAAATAGAACCTTGTTACACATTTAGCGCAGCTTAATTGTCACCATTATCACAATGCAAAGCCACATTGAAGAGTGTGCAAATAGTTGAAGCTGGAATATTGAGCTCTCCCTGTTCCTTTTGTCCCCCATTTGGCCTAAAGATCAAATTTACCATTCCAAACCCGGGGGTTAAGCGCCAAGACTCCGACCGTGGGGACTGGTATTGTCGTTACACATCTGGTACATCTCGTTCTCCCCACAGTCGTTCCCCAATGCTCCTTGGATGACATTTCCCCTGAAATACGGGGAATAAGCGGTAATTCAGAAAATTCCACTGGAGACGTGCCAGGAATCGGACCATTGGCAATGGGCGTCATCAACGGCAGATTGACCCTTGCCCGCATCCGCCTCACATCCGCGTCCTGACTCCGGCCCTCGGAGGCTTCGTATAGATAGATCGCACATCTCCGGTGCGGCGCTTTATTCTGTCACAACAATTTCTCACTTGGCTTCTGCACAATGGACCTGCTTTCCGAAGTCAGCGCGCCTACCGTGGCCATGGCATCCGCTCTGTCGTTGGCCGCCGGGGCCTATCTGAACGCGAAGCTCTCCATCTCCACCGATCTCTCACAGCTTGCCGGCGATCGCGCCTTCGCAGCCCGACTAGGTGAGCGCATAGCTCAGCTGGGCGACTCTACGACCATCTATAAGATGCTAGAGCGGGTGGTCGAGGTTGAAGGGCAGGGCGCGGCCGATGCGCTCTGGTTTGAGCACAAAACATGGTCATACAGCCAGTTGAAGGAGTGTGAGTGTTGAAAATCTGCATATTAATTATATCGACTAATCGGTGCTACAGTGGTTGATCGATTTGCCGCTTTGTTGCATGCTCGCGATATCAAGGCTGGAGACTTCGTGGGCGTCTTCACAATCAACTCGCCCGAGATGGTGGTTGTTCTCTACGCGCTGTCAAAGCTTGGTGCGGTGGCTGCCATGATTAACACCAACCTCCGAGGTACGCAATTCTCACTAAAATTGCAAGAAGGGAAAAAGTCTAACGAGTCGAAAAGATGATACATTCATCCATTGCCTGACTGTGTCCGGGTCGAAGTTCATCATCTCAACCCCAGACCTGTCACAACATGTTTGCGCCGACCTACCACACGTGGCATTCAATCTGTCATCGTTTAACGATATCTCCACCGGCGCCGTTGAACTTATCACTTCAAGCGACCTGCAACAATTCTCTCCAACCGGAGTCGAATGTGCTAAACGTACTCCCCGCGATCTAACCGCGTTGATCTATACATCTGGTACCACGGGCAAGCCCAAAGCCTGCGGCGTACGCAACATTATGGCACTGGTAACCTCAAACACACTTCCAGCGGATGCGAACAACCGGGCCAAGTACTCCCCGCTACGCACGTACTCATCTCTGCCCTTGTTTCACGGCACGGCCTTCTTCACGGGGGTATGCTACTCCGTAGGCAATGCCGGAACACTGTGCCTGAGACGGAAATTCTCTGCCTCGCAATTCTGGAAAGACGTCCACGACTCGCGCTCAACACGCATTCTCTATATCGGCGAACTATGCCGCTATCTACTATCCACGCCACCATCCCCTTACGACCGTAACCACAACTGCATCGTGGCCTCGGGCAATGGCCTACGCGGCGAGATCTGGGAACGCTTCCGTCAGCGATTCGGCGTTCCCGAAATCCGAGAGTTCTACCGTTCCACGGAGGGTTTGGCCAAGTTCGACAACCACGGTGTCAGCGCTTGGGGTGCTGGGAAAGTAGGCTTCTCGGGCCCAATCCGCCGATTCCTCGAGGATGATACATTTATTGTCAAGTATGATCCTGAGACGGAGATGCCGTATCGCGATCCTGTGACTGGGTTCTGTGTTCGCGCTCGTCTTGGTGAGGAGGGTGAGGCCATTGGCCGTGTGCGTGACCGTGGCTTGCTCACGGAGTATCTGCACAACGAAGAGGCTACTGAGAAGAAGCTTATCCGTGATGTTTTCCAGAAGGGTGACCTCTTCCAGTGCACAGGTGATCTTGTTGTTCAAGATCTATCTGGATGGGTCAAGTTCCAAGATCGCGTTGGTGATACATTCCGCTGGAAAGGAGAGAATGTCAGCGCAGGTGAGGTCCGGGATCACATTTGTCGGATTGACGGGGTTCACGATGCCGTGGTCTATGGCGTCAAGCTGGGCGGGTAAGTCTGCATTCTCCCTTTCAAATTAACCTTTTGTAACAATATTTTGTCTTCAGATATGATGGTCAAGCTGGCGCTGCCGGCATCACTCTCGAAGAACACTCCTCGGCCGCCGAAGCCGATCTCATGTCAAACTTGTACGGCGCGCTGAAGAAGAAGGGTGTTCCATCATACGCACTGCCTCGACTAGTGCGTATCACAGAGAAGTGAGTTTCCTTACTCCTTTTATTTCTGACATAATTTCTGATTATCTTAATAGAGTTGAAACGGGAGTCACGTTCAAACAAGCGAAGGGCGATCTCGTCAAGAAGGGCTGGGATCCTCGCAAAGACTGGGCAGGAGACAAGCTGTACTGGCTGAACGGCACAGTCTATGAAAAACTGAATGATCAAAGCTGGACAGAGATTGAGAGCGGCAGAGCTAAGCTTTAAGCGCCCGAGGATGCAGATAGGCATGGTGGTAATACATATTCGACAAGCCAGCCCGATGGTATATCAGCATAGTATATCGTAACCAAGTCTGGAACGGGGCCTTGGTTTACCGAAGTTGTTTGATAGAGACATTACTGTACAATGGAAAGAACGGATCTCTTGCTTCAAACCCCGTGAAGTAGAAATCTGAAATCGTCCATCGGAATGTGGCGTATTTGATGTGATGATTTACATCCATAGCGCCCCTTTCCTTTTTCAAAAACCGACTGCAAAGACCGATTGTACACAGCATGAATTTCTTGCACCTGTAAGGCAGAACTGCAGTTTTACAGAACCCCAGCCTATCCATTCGAGAGCTATTCACCCAAGAACTCAAATTTCCGATCCATGATTTCATGTAGAATAACATGAATCTGGTCCACTTTCAGGAGATATTGAATTTCCTGATCTCTCATAATCCCACAAGGTACAGTCCCTACCTGGGATCCGTCAAATAGGCACGCATAACCTTCCCTGGAAAGCAGCCTCCGGCCCATGGTTTAGTAACCCTAAGTTGCTAGTGTCGCACAGACCCACGTGGTGGATGCGCTAGCCTAGACCGTTGATATCCTGCCGAAAATAGTCCTATTCGACGAGCTGGCACCACTATGGCTACCATAGAGATTGTACTGGGAAGTTGTTAGTAGCACGCATTTGTAAAGTATTTGTTCTGATGCGTCTGTAAGTCATGGGGTGGTGCATTTCTGTTTGTCTTCTCTCAAGCATTTCAATTTTTTTTTTTGGAGTCGAAATTAACATTCTACAGTTTTCTCTACCCGGTGAAGCGGTTTACCTAAAACAGCCCTGGTTGTATCCCCATGGCGCGCCGTCTTCGTTCTTCCGGACATGGTTTGACAGTATCGCAATTCAATTTTTCCCGGGGGTGCATTCCTGTTATCTTGTTCATGTCTCCCCGTGCCGGATTATCGCGAAACATCGGCATCCATGGTCCCGGCTGAGTGTCCAAGCGTCCGGGACCAAGCAGCGACTAGGCCGGGGGAGGTTAGGCTATCGCGATCGGCAGTCTCACTCCAACGCCAGTGGCTGGCACTCCCCGTGGCTCTGTGAGTTCGTCCGCGGGGCTCGGCCAGCCGGGGGATCTCATTTAAATCGTGGCGAAAAGTCGCTCAGCTCTCCTTTTTCCTTTTTTTTTTTTTTTTTTTTTTTCTTTTCCCTCTTTCCTCTTTTCCTTCCTCAACCTGCGTGAAATCCAACGCAGTAATAACAACAACATCAACGGAAAACATGGACCGGGACCAGGAACAGGGCAAGGACGCGATCCTTACCTCTGACGAGGTGGCTCCCGGCGGAAGTCCCTCGGCGGAGGACAAGCCCACCGCGCCCGATCAATTCGACGATCAATACCGCACCACCCAGAAAGAAATTTGGGCCTACTATTCGTGCGTGGTTTATCGAGTTGGCTGTGCGGAGAACTAAAACCCCCTGTAGCTACTATGTCGGCAACAACGGCCTGTCGCTATTCAGTCAGTTTTTCGTTCTTTTCTTTTCCAACATCCATTTCAAAACTGACTTTCAACCCGAAAATAGACTTTGCGCCGACAGCCTTCCAAAACCTGTTGTATCAGGCCGCTCCGGCCAGCGGGCTACTGTCCTTCGCAGGAGAACTGCGCAGCATCAACAGCATTGTCCTGCTCAGCAATGGAATCTCCTTTGCCATCCAGATCGTCGTGTTCATTACGATCGGTAGTTTCGCCGACTTCGGCTATTGGCGCCCTAATATCCTGATCGTCCTGTCTCTCGTGGCCTACGGAATCGGTTTCGGCTGGCTGGGTGTGCACACCGCGGATCAATGGCATATCGGCGTGGGATTGTACATCGTGGGTTTAATCGCCTATCAGACCTGTCTGACCTTCTGGACCGCCGCGTTCCCGAGTCTGGCGCGCAACACCGCCCATATGAAGGAAGTGGCCAACGAATATGTGTCGGGCCAAATCACTCGCGACCAATACGATTATGAGGATACCATGACGCGAAGCAAACTGTCCAACGTCGCATTTGTCGTTCAATCGGTGACTGAGATTGTTATTCTGGCCATCATTGTGGGAATCATGTTCGGACTCGACGTGGATGCTAGTCAGGCCAACAACAATTGGGGCCTCAGTGTGCTCATCGCCTTCGTCTCGGGCGTGTGGCTGCTGGTTTCTTTGCCGTGGTTCTTCATGGAGAAACGCCGGCCTGGCCAAGACCCGGGCAAGCGGTCTGTTTTTGTGGCGGGCTTGTGGCAGCTCTGGCACGCAATTCGGCAGATCTGGCATTTGAAACAAAGCCTGGTGTATCTGATTGGTGAGCGACGGCTGTTGTGATGATTTTCTTGAATCATTTTCTAACCATCAATAGGGTATTTCTTGCTGGGAGATTCTCTCAACACGACTGTGACTGTCATCGCGACCTTGCAGAACAGCATCGTCGCCTACAATACCCTGAAGCTGACATATCTTCTGATCGTCGGGATTGCCGCGCAGGGTGTCGGGATCTATGCATTTTGGTGGATCCAACAGCGTTTCAAGCTGGGCACCAAAACCATGTTCAACGCGATTGCCTTTGGAATCATCCTGCTTGACGGCTGGGGCATGATCGGAATCTGGACGGACAAATTTGGGTTCCACAATGTCTGGGAGGTTTGGGTATGTCCTCCTTTTTGACTGGCGGTGTGAATATCAGCTGATATATCGTATAGGTCTACCAAACATTCTACGGGCTGTTTATTTGTCCGTGGTACAGTTACTCGCAGATCATGATCTCCGAAGTCACTCCGCGCGGTCATGAGTTCCTCTTCTTCAGTCTTTTCAGCATTATCGGCAAGACTTCGTCTTTTATCGGCCCCATTGTCTCAAGTGCTATCATTGATGCTTCGCCCACTCACAACCCCTCGACCCCGTTCTACTTCCTTTTTGCGCTCAGTGTCTTTAGTTTCGTCGTCCTTGTCTTCTTTGTGGACCTCAAGCAGAGTCGCCTTGAGCAAGAGTCATTCCTGCAGGATAAACTGCGGAGACTGGAAGGCAGTGATATGTCTTCTGAAGGAGAGAGGTCCTCAACAGTCTGAAATTGACTCTGTCTTCAGACTTGTACATACATTGATGATTTTCATGATGAAGATATTGTGCATCTATTAGGAAATACACCGAAGTTCCACTTTTTACTTTGACGGCGGATACTGCATTTGAGAAATGTCAAGAGATCACTCATCAGAAATCTCGATTAATCCCATTTTAGATGGACAACCCGCAAAACTAACCCTAGTTCATAACCACGGTGGCTCTGGACAATCCGTTCTTACCCGACGTCCATCCTGCATCAAATGACTACTATACTGTAAGCGGGCATATTGTGTTGCCCGCCACTCTCCTTGTACGCCCTCAGGTTTCATCTCGAGTCCGGTCTGTCACGACGTGTTTCTCCCGCTACATGCCTTGCGGTGTAGTAGTTACTGCCAACTGTGTCCCCGGTTTTGGTTAACGGGGCTCTGCGTCCTCGTGGTTTTAGGTTTTGGATGGACGCACTGCTTCGACACGAGTCTCCTAGCTATATACGGAGATATGCAGGTTCAATTCCACCTGGGAACGGAGAACCCCTGTATACATTACCGGTACCTTCCTGCCCCCAAGAAGACGTGTAGATGCAACGTTGAGAGCGCTCGTATAGCCAGACACTGCCAGAACAGACGTAGTAGCCGTCGCGTGTCACCGTTGCGCTCTCGTTCTCGCGTCTATTTCAGTTTCCACTTCTCTTTTTTCTTTCTTTCTCTTCTTCTTTTGCCTTGCATACTCTCTCTCTCTCTCTCTCTCTCTCTCTCTCTCTATATCTCGTGCTAAAGTGTGCTACAATCTATGGTTTTATTCTCGACATGGCGAACACGCAGCATATCGTGGGCACGGCCGACCTCAACCTCATCGAAGCCCCTGTTACCTGGCGCGCCTACATGATCTGTGGCTTTGCCAGCTTCGGAGGTCTGGTCTGCCTATCGTCTCCTTTAGATATTGCATTATATGGCTGACACGAAAATGAATTATAGGAATCCTTTTCGGCTATGACTCTGGTTACATCGCAGGCGTACTAGGCATGGACTTCGTCAAGCAACACTTCGGACACCCCGTTTCCAAAGACCTCGACCCTTCAGGGTTTATAATGGCTACCTCACAGAAATCGCTCATTACCTCCATCTTATCCGCTGGTACCTTCATCGGCGCCTTGCTTGGGGGTGGTATTTCTGAGCACATTGGCCGCCGCACCACCATCATGAGTTCCTGTCTCGTCTTCACAATCGGAGTCGCCATCCAGGTGGGAACGATTAACGTCACTGGTCTCGTAGCTGGCCGATTCATCGCTGGCCTGGGCGTTGGTGGTGTTTCGGCCACTGTGATTCTGTACGTCTCTGAGATTAGCCCTCGACGTGTTCGCGGGCTGCTGGTTTCTGTCTATCAATGGGCTATCACGATCGGCTTGCTGGTAGCATCGGGCGTCGACCAAGCCTGCAAGGATATGCCCGACCGCACGTCGTATCGGGTGCCGATTGGGTTGCAATTTATATGGGCTGCTATCCTTGCTGCGGGCCTCTTCTTCCTGCCCGAGTCTCCGCGGTACTATGTCCGGCGCGGCCGGATGGATCATGCGCTTCGCTCTCTCGAGCGAGTTCGCGGACAGTCTGGGACAGCACCGGGGATTCAAGCTGAGCTGGCGGAGATCAAAGCCAATTTCGAGTACGAGAAGCAGATTGCTAGCACCTCTTGGGCTGATTGCTTTAAAGGTGGCTTGGCGGCTCGTGGGAATCTGCGTCGAGTCATTGCTGGGACGTCCTTGCAGATGTTTCAGCAATGGACTGGCATTAACTTCATCTGTAAGTGAATACTATTGAATTCAAGGAGGAAGTTCTAACCGTACCTAGTCTACTATGGTACCACGTTCTTCCAGCAAGTCGGCATGTCCAACGCCTTCTTGATGTCGACGATCATGAATATAGTCAACGTGGTGACCACCCCAGCATCATTCTACATGATCGAGAAATTTGGCCGACGAACTCTACTTCTCTGGGGTGCCTGCATCATGTGTGTTTGCGAGTTCATCGTCGCCATCGTAGGCATTGCCGATATCCCAGGCCAAGCGGCGTAAGTAAATACATAACGTGATTTATATTATTGACCAAAACATTGACCATTCCATCTCCAGAAACATGTTTTTGATATTATTTACCTGCTGCTATATCGCCTCATTTGCAACGACCTGGGGCCCCGCAGCATGGGTCGTCATCGGCGAGATCTATCCTCTGCCAATCCGAGCTAAAGGCGTCGCTCTCGCCACGGCCTCGAACTGGCTCTGGAACTGTGTCATTGCCACCATCACGCCATACATCGTCGACAAGGATAAGGGCAATCTGGGTGTCAAGGTGTTCTTTGTCTGGGGCAGTGCGCTTTTCTTGTGTTTCCTGTTTGCCTTCTTCGTCATCCCGGAGACGAAGGGCCTCACACTGGAGCAGGTGGATAAGATGCTCGACGAGTCGACGCCTAGGACGAGTGCTAAGTGGGTGCCGCGAGAGACATTTGCGCATGAAATGGGCATGGCAGACGACCGGGAGGGTATAGTCGGTGCGGAGGAGCAGAAGACTGCCCGGGCAGTGCAGAGTGATGCGGTTTAGTGTTTGATCCGTATGACTGAGTCGATGCGCTGATGATTGAAGGAGAGGCACTTCTCAAAGGAGTTCAAAGAACGGGCCGTTTACACTGTGCATCTCTAGATTGAGCTCATCCTCTCTTGGAATGGCTTACTGGGATAATGGATTCACAATTATCTACGTGTATTGAGACAGAGCACCAAATATCATAGCAATCTACTTGATACTTATATTTTGTACAACAACTGATGTAAAAGATATCACACGGAACGAGAAATAGGAAACGCCAAATCCATGCTCAGCCATAAGCGCCAAAGACCGAAGAAAGAAGAAGAACAGGTGCTCACTCCTCTGCATCGGAGGACGCTTCCTTGGACTTGCTCTTTCTCTTCTTCTTCTTTTCCTTCCTCTCGGCAGCATTGTCTCCGTCGGCCTCGGCCTCGGCCTCGCGCTTCCGCTTCTTTTTCTCTTTCTTCTCCTTCTTCTTCTTCTTCTCTGCTTCGGCATCGGCGGGCAGTTGTTCCTCGGGCGCAACGAAATCCTTCTCGCGCTCGCGCATCTTCTCCTCGCGTTTCACGCGCTGGCGCTCGACCACCTCCTCCTTGTGGGCGCGGTCCTTGGCCTCCTTGGAGAGGAAGTACTCGCCGGACTCGATCTGCAAGTCGACCTTGCTCTTCTCCGGGGCGGGCGGGAAGGGAGTGTAGACTTTCTTGGACTTGTCGGTGACTGTGTGGGGGACACGGCGCTTGGAGAGGGTGCGCTTCTTGAAATTGGGCAGGAACCGGTCCCACGACTCGTTGACCAGCGTCGGGTCTTTGGCCAGCTCGCGCTTGATCATCAGCTCCTTGATGTGGTAGATCGGGTGGATGTTGGCCATGCAGTCGTCCACCACGCGGCGCACCTCCTTCAGGCCCTTGAACGGACCCATCACCGCCACCGTATTGCCCTGGACCAGGATGTAGGTGCCAGTCAACAACTCCAAAGCCTTGAGGGTTGAGCCGTTCGGTCCCAGGATCCGCTGTCGTCGCTTCACGAACCGCTCTTTGTTCCGGACCTGGTTACGGATCTTGATGATGTCGCACGCCACGTCGTCCTGGAGAATCTTCATCGCCTGAGATGCGGGAACGCTTCGCGCCAGAAGTTTGATCAGGTCGCGCGCCTTCAGGATCGACGCCGGGTCCCAGGTCTTTCGTGTTGTCTTCACCGTCATGCTACCTTCCACCAAATCCAGGGTGCACGCGATCCCCTGCTTCTCCAGCGCCAGTGTCACAGCCGGCCAGGCTTCCTTAAGGTAGACCTCACGGTATTTGGGGAAGAGCGTCATGAATGACGACTCTTCTGCGAAGCTGCCGGCCACATTGTGGTCGGGTTTGAACTCTTCGATCTGGATGGAGCGCGGAGCCTGTCAATTTTTCTTTCTTGGAAACAGTTTCGACGAGAGCGCATACCTTCCACTTGTCGATATCATCCGTATCCCACGGCTTGTCCTTCTTGTAAGTCGACGGCATCTTGGTCAGGGCGTTGTGGTGGTTGGAGAAATCGAGCGACAAATTCCCAAGAACTTTTTTTGTCCCGCCGCTTTTCCTGATTAGGTCATTTTAATGCCTGAGAATTTAGGTGTCCCGGCATGGCTCCTCTATGCTTCTTGGCTATTTGGACTTAAGGTCATAAACAGAAGAATTTGAATAGACTAATATATTTGAGCCGGGGGTCCGACAGACGCCTAGTAGGATAATTTATGACCCGTCCCTCTCATTTCTAAACAGAATAGACCAGTTTTCTTCCTCTCACCCTCCTGTCAAGCAGTCGAAGCCACTCAGCACGCCCTCAAAGCAATTTCTGTCCAGATTGACACCAAGGAGAGGATGTTTTTTCAATTTCCCTTCATTGAGAAGTTGTTCTGTCAGCTTCATGATCATGATCGTGAACGAATGACCCGACCCTCCAGAACAGATGGAAATCTAAGCTGATGCACCGAGGATGGAAGGTCCCCGGGTACATCTTGAAATACATCCATTTGTGTCGGGTGTCTAGTGATGAAGCAAAATAGCTAGATCATCTGATGAGACGGAGTAGGAAGATCATGACTACCGTGTTTCTGCCCAACGGGATCATTGCGTTCGTTTGCTCCCATCTCCTACAGCCACACCCCTTCACTTTCTCGCAGTAACAACATCAAGATAATCACTTTAAGATCTCTCGGTTGTTCTCTCTGAGAAATGCCGCTTCAGACCCAGCCTTATCTGGCTGTGTCTCTATGTCACATCCCTCCGAACCCCTTCAGGTCCAGACATTCCCAGTCAACTGTAATCGAACGTCTCGCTTGCTCTTGGGAGGAAGCTCGTGATGGAATCGGAGATTGTTTTCCTGGAGAGAATTAACTATGGCTCTGTGTTTGTGTTTGATGGCCAGGACTAGCAGCCGGCCCAGGCCTCGACTCCCCAGGGGCAGATACCGATGGTATGGATCGTACTTAACCTTTCCCGACAGCCCCTTCTTTCCGCTTGTTTCTCCTCTTCCATCTCGCATTCACTGGCATCATCAACAGCATTCACGGTTGATCAGCCCACGGATCTCGTCGCTGCTGGGGCCATGTTCGCACGTTTCCCAGAAGGTATGGTCGGCCTGACGCAAGATCCTCAGCTTCAGTGCCGGCCGATCGATCGGCCGGCACGGACCGCAACCCCTTCGACCCCGTGTGCTTCGAACGCATGTCGAGGGCCGACCATTGGAAGAATCTGAATAAAGCTCAGCTCCCGTCAGTCCACGGCGACTGAGCGTCAAGCATCCTATTGTCGGTGTCTGCGCGGTGAAGAGGGAATAACACTACAGGCGAACTCTCACTCCAGAGACTCAGGCAGCCCGCAAGCAGAGTGTGCTTTGGGACCATACGACTCCAGTGTCGAATTACTTGTCGACTTTTGGAGGTCTTCTCCGCTAGGGGACTTCAGCAGGTGGCAGAGCGAGGCAATTGTGCGATAAACAAAATTGGCTTGACTAACCCATGTCTTCCGCTAAATCAACATGTATATGCGAACCTCCTTGCAAAGAACAACAAACGACGACGAGGCGAATGCTCATCGACAACAGTCAATGTATCCGTCCTATACTTGCCAGACACAAAGGCACATCCTATGGTTTGCGCCCGATGCAAACATACCTGGCTTCGTCAGAAATATTGCGCACGCTTTTCTCGGGATGACATACAGTGGGAAATATGGCTTCAGATTATGGTTCCTCGCCTCCTCCTGGGCCTGCGCCACGAGAGAATCAAAAGTCGCCGTCGACATATGCAAGCGTTGGGTGAGCGGATATAGGGCGAGTGATCGGAGCAGCTGATTGATATTCTCGCAGTTGGATCGGCCAATTTCCCGCATCCTTGGGTCTGGATTCATGTCAGCGGACTGTTGCTGCTCAAGACAGAAGGTCAAAGTACGCACCATTGGACCACGCAGAGAGAGGCAGAGGGATCATCTTCAAGTCGACTTCAACAAGACCCGCCTCTATCAAAAGGTTTCGCAGTCTCGACCCGATTCGGAGGTCCTTCCTGTCCTCCAAGGACCGCATGTACTGCGTGCTCCATTTTCTCAGGGCATTCGCGTCCGTGAGCGAGCCGTTGTCAGACTGCACATTGTAGTAGATCTCCACCATCTGAACCCAGCCTCCTGGCTTCAGAACCCTTCAACACGGAGCGTGTCAGTGATGCGCGGTTTCGACCACAAAATGGCTTACAGCAGGCCTCCAGTTCACTGCGGGGGAGGGCGACACACCTGGCGATGTCACGGATATAGGACGACCATCTAGCTCGGTTGATGCCGGTCGCAAGCAGTCTGGAATGCACAAGGTCGAAGTGGTTGGAAGGGAAGGTGAACGTCCGATTCAAGTCGTCGACCTATTCGACGGCGCGTTAGCGACCATTCTGAAAAACTATGACTCTGGCATGGGCATGGTTATCACACCAAAAAAGGCCTCTTTTTTTTTGCCCAGAGCGCCCTGTCGGACCAAACTAGATGAATCACTTACCTGGAGCCACAAATTTTCTGGCACATCGTCCGGGCTCATGTGCGGGGCAATATCTATGCCGATGACCTTTGAACACATCAGTGTTAATGATCATCAGTATCGGTGACGGATCGTGCCACTTACCTCGCAATCGGGGTACTGCTCAGCAACCTCGACGGCCCAAGATGCGGACCCGTGGCCGCAATCCAGCACCCGCCGGGGTTGAGAAATGGGTGGGAAGATCAGGCGGTGATCGAAGATTCGGTGAAAGACCCGCTGCTGCACTTCAAGGCGTGCTGCTTCTTCCTAAAACCAGCGAGAGTCACCGTCAGTATGGGGCCCTAAAGCCGTGCAAATACTCTTTTGCCTTACCTCGTCTACCGGTCCGAAGTAGATGCGGTGATCGATTGCGTATTTTTGATATTCACGGCCTTGAACCGTGATGGTATCAAGGAACTCGCGGTCCAGTTCTACTGTCTGCGAATCCGGACTCCTTTGAAAAGCAAAATTCATATCGTTAGTGCTTCTTTCGTCCGAAACAGGGGCGACAAAGAAGGAAACCGTACGTCATGGTATTTCTGGCCCACTCCTGGCCTTTTTTGGATTCTCGGTCTGGTTATATCGTCCTTTCTGTCGAGGATCGAGGGGTGGATTCTCCGGATCGAAGGGAGTGTGTATCAAATTATAGGGTTTCTGGGGAAAGAATGGAAGGCGATTGATGACTTGTGGATTTCATGGAAATCCTCGGGTGCTGCGTGGGAAACGTCGGCACCAGCGGTAGGCAATTGTCGGAGAACGATGGCGGATCGCGCGAGAATCATTCACCCTTCGTGGCCGATTGCTGAGGGATGTGTGAGTGGCCCCAGTCATACATGGTATGTACTAAAAGGTATAGATGGGCCGACACTCCGCTCAATTCGGGCTGTGTCTCCTGAGCTCAGCAGGATTCTTGCCAATACTGGAAAAGACCAAGAATCTTAGGAGCAAAGGCTGAGCGCCGAACGTCGGGACTGTCTGTACGGAAGGAGACTCCGTGTGCGAACACTGGATACAAGCCGTGGTGTCGCCTCAGTGTCTTGCTCGGATGACCGGAGGGCCTTCTAGGGAAGTTCTGAGGGTCTCCAAGCACATGCCTTGCCACCGTGAACTACTACAGCACACGCGCCTGAGTGATGAGGACAGATGATTCTTTCTACTTCTGCGTCCTGAAGAACGGACCAGCGAGCGAACCCAAAAAGACAAAACAAAAAGCAAAAGAGCGGGTCGGCAGAGTAGCCGAAGCGTGAATAGTTCACAAGCAATCTGCTAGCGTGACTGACACCAGGATTCGCAGTCTCGTGTGTTTTCTTAAGGTCAGGCTAATAAACCTTGACCAAGCGGCTGTGTCATCAGCTAATAATGCACCACCATCTGCCGTCTTGCACTACTGGGTTTCGAGGGTCCAAGGACGCCCGACTGTGTGGATCAAGCGTATCCCGGCCTACCGCTGGTGCTGCATCTCACTGGGGCATCAATACCCAGCCCATGTTTCGGGCTAATTGAAACTCGGGGGCCCGATGTTCTGCAGCGGTTAAGGCGCGAGCTTACGAAAATTGCAAAAAAATCCAGTCTACCCACTTCCCTTTCCGGTCAAAACAATCGAAAGGAGACAAATGAAGATGATGTAATGAGGATCGATACAAAAATAAAAGACAAATGACGGGCCGCCCCCGCTGCGAGGCTCAACCAAAGAACCAAACATCCCAACTGATCGGATATCTGCAATAGATCCGAAGGCAAAAGACGGAGATTCGGATCTTGCCCCGGCCTTGCTTGCACACAGACCTGGCAAGCCCTGCATTCTTTCAGATTCTAGTGGCTCAAAGCCTGGATCTGTTCCCGCTGTCAGTGAGTGGTCAAGAACCCGACGGTTCGGTGAGAATGTTTCTTCTTCAAAACAACAGAAAACAGTTCGGCGAAGCTCCGAGGCCAACAGAATAATCTTTACGCGCTGTTTCTATGTACGTACCTCCGGAGCGGACAAGGGGCCCTTGTTTAGCCGGCCAGAGCACTACTCTAGTGAACACTACTCGGCCTGATGGCAACAACAAAAAATACTCCGTCGAACCAGAAAGTGGGGCTCGGACGGTCTCCATGGCCCAAGATCAGCGACATCCCTCGTTGGGCTCCATTCCCTCGGGATCCTGCTTTGTGGGTAAGATTCCTTTCTATCCCTCTCACCGCTTCTCCTGCGTGTCTTGGTCGTTGAGCCCGACTGCGTGGACTGGCTGTGCGGCCGGCGCCGCCGAGTTTTGGCACAACGTTCAACATATCTCGAAATAGAAGACCGTGACATATTGACTTGCATGACGGCCCAATTTGACCGAAAAGCCATGCATGCATGCAGGCATACATGTACCCTAGTGGGTTTTTGTTGGCAGGCCCTGCCGAACGGAAAACATTTCCATCGCGAAAGAAGGCAGTCCGCGCTCGCTCGTGGAGCATACTCCTTTTTCTCTCCGTGCAAAGACACGGACACACCTTCGGAAAGGCCCCACCGTCAAACAGCCTTGAACTTCCCAACCGAGCTGGCTGCATTGGATATCCTGGGGGCAAATCTCCGAATAGGACTTGACGCATCACAGAGGATCGGGGGCTCGGATCCACTCACTCTCTGCTGGAAGTCCGCACACGCCACGCCAACAATTCTTCGGGAGTCTAACCACCTCGCTGGGTGGGCTGGCTGGGTTCTCGGCCTTTTCCCATCATTTGCGTTGCCTTTCACAGCACAAGACAGTTATTATTCAGAGTTATTGTCTGACGGAAGTACTACGCTTACCGGATCCTTGAGTCCTGATTTTCTGCACGCCTGAATTTCCTGCACTCGCGCGACGTTCATGCAAGTTACCCACGGGGCAGAAAACCACCCGGTGTGTCGGGTCTCCTTTTTAATAAAAAAAAATAAATACTTTTTAATTGCGAGGCCGTATGGTCATCACACTATGCCGTGTTGGGTGTTTTCAGTGAACCCGACAGAGTGGTTCACACTCGGGAAGACACCTCAGCCTCGAGGGGGCCATGCGGTAAGGCCCCTCCCTGGAGGGAGTTAGGATTGAGCCTGGGGCAGCGTGGGCCGACAGAGCTGCCGGCAAAAGTTGCATTGATCCCGTGGTAGTGTAGCCTGTATGTTGTTACGTTGCAGCAATTGACAACCATCGATCAATCGTTCATACATGTCGAAAAGCCAGTGTCGTCCCGGTTTTAGGGAAACACCGGCCAAACTCAATGATCGACTCCGGGATCTCCCTCAACACTACTACATATCGGCTGCCGTACTCCATCCAGTAGGTCATAGTGCCACGGTGCCAACACACCGGTCCCCGTCGGCGCGTTTTAGGGATAGGGCCGCCGGTCCTGGCCAGGGTTTAATTTAGGCGTTTATCCGCTGCCCTGGGAGTATACCGGAGAAAATTTGGGATTAGATACTTAGTACATACTATGTCACTTCCAGTTTCAGCCCCTTTCTATTAACAAAGTAACTACAACTCCTTAAGGTTGTAATTACCTTTTTTGGCCCTGCTTGCTTTTCCAGCCCGATTCTGTACATGGAAAGGATTGGGGGCTTCCCCTTTTCTATCGCCGCAAACCGTCCGACTGTGTTTCGCAATGTGTCACAATTCCAGTCTTCCACGTGTTGACTCTCCACTGCCAGCGTGGATGAACCAGCGCATCGGGTTCGAGCATGGCTGGTTAGAATATTCTTATGACTCGAAACAAATGATCGCTTGGCTTATACAAAATTATGTATTATTGAATGTACACATGTGCCGTGGGGACTACATAAGTTGAACATTGTCCGGGTCATCATGGAGGGACGGATCTTGGGTACTTAGCACCTACCTAAATAAGTATGTGGGGCATAGACTTTGGAGTTCCACTGAACTATCTTGTTTTGTCTCTTCGGCCAGTCGGCGTGTTATATATCGTTCTTCAACACGGCAGTGTTACTTTTGACACATGAAATTTGGATATATATGTCACTGGAGACAACCATTTCAGATGAACACTGCACCTAACGAAGGTGTTACTACCTAACATTGAGAACATATTGATCTATTGTCAGCCATTGATGAACACACTCTGATATATGCGTCCGCCATCGTTACATCCGAGGCTACCCGGTGATAGGTAAAATCTCTCTGAAGAAGCGCACTAACCTTCCGAATCGATTGAATGATCGAACTCATGAATGGCACAAAGATGACTACCCCATGATAACCAACAGTCTGTCGGGGACTTCCTCGAATGTCAACAATTAAGAGAGAAAAAAAACATCACTGCCAAGTGTGTTCAACCACACATGATGTCCAAACACAACGCCAACCAGACAGAAAACAACCCGAAGCAAGAAGACCCAGCAAATACATAAATCATGAAAAGGTTCACCAGCCTTCAAGCACAGATTACCGCACGTCCTCCCTCCCCGCCATGAACTTGACACCCGCAGCAATAATCTGCATGACGACCTCGATCTCCGCCTCGTTGCGTGGCGCATAGATGAGCAGATACTCCGGCGGTAGATTCGGTACACACCCGGAGGTTGCGAATACGGATAAGAACGTCGACTTGGAGAGACCGGAGAGCGCGTGGCGCTGGCCCCATCCCGCTTCGATGACTCGTTTGCCTATACAAGATTGGTTAGGTTGATACATCACACGAGAAGGGGAGTACGTACAGTCCGCGGGCGACAACACAACATGCACGGAGTGATCGGACAGATCGTGCAGATTGGCAATCTCGCGGCGCATGCGTGTTGCAATAGCCGAGGCGGGGAGGTTAGCGGCGAGGAAGAGGGCATCGGCGTTGCCCTCGAGGAGGGATGCGTTTGTCTTGACGAGGTGGTAGTTGCGGTTTGCAAAGGAGCTGAAGCTTGCGCGGAATTTCTAGACATGATCCATTTTATCAGCACTGCAATTACAGATAGCGAGGTAGAGGTGGGTAGTTGTATAGATAAGGTACGCACTTCCTGCACGCGCTCCACGGGGATCTGCGTCAACTGGCGCTGCGGCGAAACATGCGGTCCAACAACAGGCCGTGAATCGGTCCGTGGCACGGCGCTGAGCTGCTCCTCCGTGAGAAAACCCTCGTCGCCCTTCCCGTGACCCTCGGCCGCTGCCACGCGTCGGTCATACACGTCTGTGCTGAGCATCTCGCGGCCCAGCGGCTGCATGACCAAACGCACGTAGAGCCATCCCAGGAGATTGTCTGGCACGCCGCCGCCGCCGTAGGAGCGGAAGGTGCGGTAGTCGCGGTAGGCGGCAGGGACAACGACGCTGGTGCCTAGTAATGCAGCGGCAGTGGTGAGGACGAGTGGGAGGCGGTCATGCTGGGTGAGTGAGCGAGGGAGCCTGAGGGAGCGCACGGCGGAGCTCAGGGAGTCGGTCGACATCGCGGGAGGGATGCTTTGCGAGGAGTGAGTTTGGTTCCAGAGTGTGCGCCGCTTTTTATTCTCGATGCACAACTGGCTGGAGTCAACAGGGGACTAATGACGTGAGATGCGCGCGATATGGTGGAGAAAATAACAATTCGGCTGTGATCGCGGCATTTCGGGCACCGCCGGCGCAATATGTACTTTGTCAACAACCACATTCTAACATCCCCCCATCATTTGGAGAAACTGTCCTGGTTTCTAGTCTAGCAGTAAATTGTAGATCGCGAAAATTGTGAATCGTGACTTGGATACATCTGTCTATATACACATGCGAGAACTGATCTCCGCTTGCTTCTATCTTATCAGGCCCCCCACACTCAAGGCAGCGGAATCGCGGTGCCGCCGGAGTACATCACGGCGCGATGTCGCAGAGGATACTCGGCGTTTGTCTGAAGCAGATAGGTTTGGGCGCCTGGTGACCTTGGAGCGGCGTATGGTTACTCTATAACAAGTAAAAGTAGAGGTCCTGAGCTCAGGAGGAGGGAATATGTCCAGGGTATTATGCTGTACGCTTTCAATCTTCCTTGCTAATAGAGCTCAGTGAATGTGCGAGCTTCAGAAGTACCACACTCTCAGTCGCAGCGAAATAATTCAAACTGTGAAGTGGCGAGTTAGAGAAAGAATTGATAGTAGAAAAGGAGCTACCCACCTGTCCATCAAGATCCGCAGATGGCGGTTGAAATGGTCCTCGTACCGCTTGAGTGTGTCCTCGAGCTTGCCAATGCGCGTTGGATCATACCCCCGCGCATCGGGGCCTCCAGCCTTGTCCCCAGACAGATCCTGGTCGGCCGAGGCCAAGGCGCGGGAGAGCGATGCTGCGGTCCAAGACGCGAACATGGTACAGCAGGTCATCAGCTTAGAATGAATCTGCTGAGTATTAGCAGTCTCCTTCCAAAAGTCAAAGAGAGCCATTTACCTTCAACAGCTTGGCCTGGGTCAGCATGCACTCCTTGAGACATGTATCCAAGAAATCCACATGGTCCTGCATCAACTCGTCCACCGTCCGGTTGACCTGTTTCGACTCCACCGCCGACCCCTTGGATTCAGCCCCCTCGGCACCGTTCACACGCTCCATCAGTCCAACCCAATTGGGCTCGATCACCTCTGCCGTGCAAAAGTACAGCAGCTGCTGGACAAAGACAAGCATCTTCGCCCGCAGGTTCCACGCACGTCGTTTCCACATCTCCAACCGAGGATCTGAAGATTTGTGCCGCCAGCTGATCGTCTTGTTCTGGTCGGCCCAGGACGTGACCAGCAGCGTCTCCAGGTGGCGCAATGACAGCAGATGCCGGAAGATGAGCTGATACCGCAGCACGGTCTTGCGGCTGATGACTAGCGACAGAGGGAATGGCACCGAGTAATCCAGCTCGAGCGCATCAAATCCGACAATATCCTTGTCCTCCTCGGCGATTTGAGACGCAGGCGTCTGCTTCTCAAATGCGGCTTCCGGGTTGTCCTGATCAATCCCCGAGACGCTGACGACCTGCATCAACCACTTCGTGAGCCCGATCTTGTTCATCGAAACTTTGACATCCTCCTTGAATGGATCTTGAGCAGCAATACTACCCGGTTGGCGGAGGACAAGGTCCAGCAGTGACTGAAGCTTGCCCTCATTTACCACACGCGCTGGCTTGCGCAGCTCTGAGGCACCAAGCTCCAGGAAATACGAGAAGAAATCCGAGCGATCGAGAAAGAAATAATGTTTCAAAGAGCGGAATCGAGTCGTGAGCGAGTTCTTCGTCAAAAGGAGATTCAATAAGGACGCATTCGCATGGGTATAGGCGGCATTGACATTCTCCAAAAACCGCGGGTCATCAAGCGTCTTGGGCACATCCTTGACGGCTTTGCTGACATCGACGCCGCCGCATTCGCGGACCACGTTCAGATACTTGCCCGCCAATAGAACTTTGTCTCGGACACTGTCGAGCTGCGGTGGAACCTCGTTGTCTCGGATGGTGTAGCGTTTCTCCCAGTATTCATCGGTATAGTCTTCCTCAAGCTTCTCCCGCTTGATCCATTTCTGCTCCTTCACCAAGAACTCTGCGTGAGGGTCTTTGATGCCTCCATGGTGCAGCCATTCATTCAACATGTTCATGTAGGGCCGACTGGCGTCCCGGAGCAGGGTCTGCAACAGAGTCTTCGTGGTGGGATCACCGGAGAACATGGCGAGACGTTCAGTCAATAGGCGCAGAACGTTGCCTCCTTTGCAGATCTTCCTGCTTGCACCGGGAACTAAATCTCCTCCTTCTTTGAGCTGCTCGAGGATATTATCGACGTCATCAAAGTCATCAATTGACTCGTCGAGGTCTTGATCCAAAAGGCCATTTCGTCGCAGAAGTTCCTGGCCTAAAGAATACAATTGAGCCAGACACTGGCTGGTGGGCATCGTGTGGAGATGGAGGAGGTGCAGCGTGAATGTGGGGTTGTTCAGTAGTTGGCCTTCCAGCTGAGCAATGAGGATGAGGTAGTCCTTGAGTAGTTTGCGGATGGACGCGCACAGCGCATGGCAGACGGCTCCATACTCGGCGCGGCTTTGGATTTCCACGAAGGCCTCCATGGCACTGTAATGGGTCGCCATCTTGAGCATGGACTGGGTGAGATCCCTCAGCGTTGGGTCCAAGCCCGACGCCAGCTGGAAACTCGGGCCGGTCAGGCGGTCCTTCTCAATCGAGGGATCGTAAGTGCTTTTGTAATGGATGTATTGGCCCTCAAGTCCCATGAATACAAACAAAAGGTCCTCCAGGATTGCAGCTTCTTGTGCGTCAGACGATAGCTCTCGAAGCGGTCGGGGGTGAAGCGACTGCGGGACCATGGATGCCAGCGGAGGCACTGATACACGACATGCTAGTGGAGCGGTTGAGTGAGCAATCAACGAGGCCTGCGGATTCCATGGCACTGTATAGTCGAGCAATGGTTAGCACTTGCATGTCAACAGACCGAATGCGACAGTGTTGTGTGTTGGAATACTGACGATCAGCGGTCTCCTTCTTCCGAGCATTTGGACTTGTGGCACCGGCCGGCGCGGTCTTCTTTTGCCTTGAATCTCCTCGGTTTGCAGCACTGGAAGATTCCTTGACCGGATTCCTGGCGCGCACCTGCGCCTTCTCTCTGGTCGTGATCACCGTGCGCTCGGTGCGCTTTTCGGATTGTTTCACGTCTCGCGACGGATTTTTCTTGTGACCCGATGAGCTTGAACGTAAGGGGTCCATATTCTCGGGTTGTAGTGGTTCATCCCCGGGAGTGGACTTGTCGGTATCGACGCGACTGGTGGCCGCGCGGGGTCGTGGAGGGTTCATATAGTCATTGACGGACATGCTCCCGCGAGGATATGGGGGAGTGGCGTAGCGTGCAGCATAGGAGATCAGAGAGAGATACAGGACACGGCAGAGACAAGACAAAGACACGCCAGAGGAGAGAGTCGAGGAGGTCTGTTGCCAGTCGCAGCGAACCAAACAAACCAGGCAAACAAACCCCTTCGAGCCTGAGGCAGCCACACCAGGCACTCGCCCACTTGCGTAGTTGAAGCTTGGGGAGCTCCATCTCATCTCATCTCATCCTCTTCCTCATCCATCACTCCCTCCCTCCCTTCCCTTCCCTTTCCTCTCTCCCCTCAAGCCTAACTCTCTACGTTTCTTCCCCTCGGTCACCCATTGCGTCAACTCTCCCACCATGTTCATCGCACGATCGGAATACGGTAAGCTCGTCCGTCCTTCTCCTCTCCGCTGCGGAAGCAACTAACCCTCCTCTGCAGACCGTGGAATCAAGTACGAATGCTCTTTCATCGCCTTGTGTTGCACCATCAGTCTGACAATGACCCCTCTCACAGCACCTTCTCCCCCGAAGGCCGTTTGTTCCAGGTCGAATACTCTCTCGAAGCTATCAAACTAGGTTCCACAGCGATCGGAGTACGTCCCTCCCTCCCAACGTCTGGATATTTCAGTTCTGCTTTTATTATTCCCAAGAGGATACCCAGCTCTAATGTCGACCCTAGGTAGCAACATCCGAAGGCGTCATCCTCGGCGTTGAGAAGCGCGTCACCTCGACCCTGCTGGAGGCATCCTCCGTAGAGAAGATCGTCGAAATCGACCAGCACATCGGCTGCGCCATGTCCGGCCTGCAGGCGGACGCCCGGAACCTGGTCGAGCACGCCCGTGTCGAGTGCCAGAACCATGCCTTCCACTATGCCGAACCACTGCGCGTCGAGAGCACCACACAGGCGATCTGCGATCTGGCGCTTCGGTTCGGTGAGAGCGGTGACGACGAGGAAAGTGTCATGAGCAGACCGTTTGGGGTGGCGTTGTTAATTGCGGGTTATGACGAGGATGGTCCGCAGCTGTATGTGTTGTGTTGTGTTGTTTCTCAGATTGAATTGTGGGTGGGCTGATTGTTTCGACTTGACAGATATCACGCTGAACCCTCGGGTACTTTCTACCGGTATGATGCCAAGGCTATCGGCTCCGGAAGCGAGGGCGCGCAGGCCGAGTTGCAGAATGAATACCACCGCTCCTTGACGCTGCCTGAAGCCGAGACCCTGGTGCTGAAGACGCTGAAGCAGGTCATGGAGGAGAAGCTGGATGCCAAGAACGTTCAGCTCGCGAGCGTGACCAAGGAGAAGGGTTTCCGCATTTACAATGACGAGGACATGGGCAAGGCTGTTGCGCAGCTGGGCGGGAATCAATGAGGGAGATTATATATCTCTCGCGATCGGTAGCCTGCCGATCTGTTTTGTGTTGTTGTTGGAAGCAATAGAAAAATAATTGACGAATTGATCCAACGCCTAGAGCTCTTTTTTTCACTCGTGCAGTCCGATATGTTCTTGACTGGTCTATAAACAGGTATCTACCGGATCTTGTACACACACGGCTTGAGCACCTGCGCCTCCTGCTCCGGCGACATGCCGCTGTCCGCCTTCCTGTCGACGAATCGCTTCTTCCCACCCGCCACCGGGGGTGCCACTGCAGAAGCGTGCTTGCCCTTACTTGGCGCACCGCCCTGCTTCACAAACTCCATCCGGACAAACATCTTGTTGGACTTGTCCACCGACTCCGGACGAAGCACGAATCCGCGAGTGCGGAACACTTCCACAAACGCCGATATATCCGTCTCATCATCCGTGGCCGCTGGGCGCGCATCCTCCGCGTAGATATCGGCATCATCCATATCCGAGTCCGCATTGTCCGCATCACCACCCTTCTTCTTCTTGAGCTTCTTCTTTTCCGTCTTGCTCTGCGGCTTCTGCGCTCCGATCTGCGCCTTCTTGCGGGTCACTTTGCCGAAGCGGCTCTTGACCTCGCTGACCCAGCACTCGCCCTTGCCGTCACCGCGCAGAACGCGCCATGCCTCCTCGACGAACGAAACCCAGTTCGTGCCCATCAAGCTCAGACAGAAGACGGCTACATCGACTGAGCCGTCTTCCAGTGGCAGATTCGAGATATCTGCTTTGGTGATCAGAGAATTCGGGGCTTGCAGGTCGTAGCTGTTGAGCTTGATGTTCAACTTCTTAGCTGACGGGTTCAGGGCACGTGCAAGCTGGGCATCGCCGCAGCCCAGGTCGATGATAGTGCAGGCCCCATTTGGTCGGCGAGGAAGCGGCGCTCCCTTGCTGAGATTCTGAGGCTTGCCTCTCTTTGGGACAGGGACTCCGCCCCGTCGACGAATGGCTTGGATGTAACCATCGACCGGGTTGGAGGGCCAAGACTCCTTCACCTGTCGGGAAAATCCTGCGTGGTATTCATCGAATAGTTCCGGGTTGGCGCTGAACAGCTCAAAGGCCTTGGCGGAGGGAGTCGTGTAGAGGGTCTCGTTCAAATGGCGGAACCGAGAGGAGATGAGCTTCTGGCGCATCGCCTGTTGGAGTGGTGTAAGAGTCGCCGACGTAGGAGGAGGTGGTGCGAGCGACTCCGGGGCGGCAGCGGCCGCAGGCGCTTCATCGGGAACCGTAGTAGAGGCGCCGTCTTCCTGCTTCTTGTTCTTCTTGTCCTTCCTCTGCTTTTTCTTTGCCGCCTTATCCCCATCCCCAAGTGGACCAGCATTGGCACCCGTGGCTATTTCCTTCTTCGGCTTGGGTGCAGATTGCTTCTGGGGTGTCTGCTGGTCCTTCTTCTGCTTTTTCTCTGGCTTCACGGAGTCCCCCGCACGGTTTTTCGCAACCTTGGGTGTTGCGACGCCGCCCTCGATATGCCGGCGATACATTTCGTCCACGTTGCCGGATGTGACATTGTCGTTTCCGCGCTTGCGCTTCTTGTTCTTTGCATTATTAGGGGTGGGCGTTTCTTTGGACGGTTGCGATTGGTTTGCCGATTGGGTCTGCTGCTTGAGAGCAGCGCTCGAGACTGACCAGCCTGGGACGGCGAACATGGTCGGTGGGAGGTGGTAAGCGAGGTGCTACCTGGTCCTCCTCTTGGAAACGTTGTTGCTGGGAAAGCGTGGTGGTTGGAGAGAAATGCAGCTCCTGCCGAAAAAAAAAAAGTTGCCGGCCGAAAACCAAGAGACAGATTGTGGCCTCAGGCATCAACCTACTCGTCGGCCAGCATGAAGGAATAATTGGTCCTCCTCCTCCTCCTCGGTTCAACTGTTTTTAATCTATCTAGAATTTTATGAAACATGTCTGTTAGATCCTACTGTGTAATTGGGGTCGGTTCTCCGCCTGGGTGGTGGTGCACCAGAGCGTACACTGTCCCATCGATGCACCCCCGCTGTGCCACACTGAAAAAGGATCACAACAAATCCAATCCAACACTACGGACTGAAAAGTAATAGAGTGCAGTATCTCCATCGGGTGATCTGCCCCCGCGGGTGGGGTATCCCCCGATGGTCCGATCCAGGGTGGCCCACCACCTCATCATCTCTCCTCCTCCCATTGACCATCCACCATGTTACCCGATTATTCCTGAGTATTAACTATTCATCCTGAGTGTGGGCCCGTGGACCAGATGGAACACACTACTGAGGCCGGGCTGGATGATCGCCTGGCCAGGAACCCCTCCGAGGACAGTGGTGGTGCGGCTGAGGATCCGTTAAGGAGGCCGTCTCTCTCCCGCAGAGCCCCCAAAAAGCGAACCAAGACGGGCTGCCTGAGTACGTTGCTGCCAGTACATGGATCTGCCCAATTGACTGACCGCAATAGCATGTCGCAAGCGGCGCATCAAATGTGGTGAGGAGAAACCCATCTGCCACCACTGCGTCAAGTCCAAACGGTTATGCGAGGGCTATGCCCAGCGCGTGGTGTTCAAGAACCCACTGGGCATCATCCGAAGCCATGCTCTGGACCAGCAATTCCCGCAAGGCCAGATGCGGGTCTCTACGTTTGATGACTATGCCAGCTCTCTGTCTGCCCAGCAAGCTGCTGCTGCTGCCGCCTCGCAGCATCCCGCGCTAGCACCGAGGCCGGTTGACCCCGCGGCATTGGATTACGCTTCTCTGCCCTCGTCACACAGAGCTCCACCGGAAAGCCCTCAAACGAGCAGTGCATCGCATTTCTACTACCCAGCTGCTTCGATGCACACACACATGCAACAGTGGCCATCCCAGACATTTACTACCGCCTCAACCGACTACTCACCACCGCCGCAATCTACCACTTCTGACCAGACCACCCATTATAATCAAGAGGCGGCCGTTGAATATACTGACCAGAGTGTCTCATCCCAATACCCAGGCGAAGGGGATGTTTATTATGCTGGCCAATTCCCCCCGATAGCCACTGGCCAAAGCAGCAGTGAGGGTATATCTCCGGTTCGTGGTCCCATTACTTCGACACTCGTCCTTTTGCTTATCTCAGTAGAATACAAATCAAACAACACCCCCAATTGTCTATCATCATCAATCGCCTCCAGGATCATTACAGCAATCTTCATACTCCCATGAACCATTCCTGCCACATCAGGCTCAGGTCGTTTATGTCGAAGACGAAAGCGAAGACTATTATGATGTCGAATCGGACGAAGAAATGGTTGACCAGGTCCAAGCAGAAGTCTTCAACCAGTTAAGTCTGATCATGTCCTCCGCCAACCAAGATGACCGGCAGCTTCGCTCTTTCACCACTCACCTGAACGAACCAAATATTCTCGCCACCTACCGTCCCACCTTGGGCTCGTCGCCCCTCAATAACCCAAAGACGGCCCGTATATTTGTTCATTTCATCCACTCCACGGGGCCATCTCTGTCAATATTTGAGCGGCATCCTACAGACTCTTCCATCGTGCTCGGTGCTCCGGTCCCCACGGCGCAGCAAGGTCTGTGGACATACACGCTTCCCCTCAAGGCCTTGGAGCACCAGGCACTATTGCAGGCTATGCTCGCGATTAGCAGCTTGCACATCTCCTCCCTTCAAAATGCCCCGACCACTGTGTCACTGAAGCACTACCACTATGCATTGAAAAGGGTCGGCCACGCCGTGGGCCTCCCGCTGCGTCGCAAGCAGATTGGTACGCTGGCAGCGACTCTGACTTTGGGTTATTACGAGGTGATATCGGCCGAGCATCACAAGTGGAATAGCCATGTCGCTGGATCTGCTCATCTGATCCGCGAGATTGATTATGCAGGTATGACACGAGACCTTCGGGCATACCGAAGGCGAATATACAAGCAGTACAACCCCATGGCCCAGATAGTTTCCTGGCCAGACGGGTATAATTACCACAATTCGGGCTGTGAGCCGCCTGAGGATGATCCATTTGTCGAAAAAGAGAGCGTGATTAATCTGAGAGTCCTCGAAACGATTACGGGGAGAGCGATGAATTACGATGAATTTGGACATGTCGAAGAGGGCCATGTGCGAGAGCCTCGGAAGCACTTCACGCGCAAGGACATTGAGAACTTTCGTATCCAGTGCGATCTGTACTGGTGGTATTGCAAGCAGGATTTGATCCAGAGCTTGATCAGTGGGAACAAACTCTTGTATGTCGAATGCTTCCAGCTTAGATTGCCATGTTCACTGACTTTGATTTGATTTCAGCACGCCATATTCCCAGTGGGGCCAGTGTCTGCCACGAGCAGGTCTCGGACGGTTGGATGCCATTTACGGCTCGGCTGATCATCTCTGGCTCTTGCTCGGACGATTGACGGATTTTGGGTATCGCGATCGGAAGCGAAAGCTGAAGGCTCTCAAAGCAGCGGGCAAGGAGTGGACACCTGCTCAAGGCATGTTCAAATTCATGGCTCGCTTTGCGGGTGGCAGTCCCGGTCAAAGGCCAGGCCCACCGGGCTCAGGTCCTGGAGGAGCTCCCCCGTCTGGTTCGACGCAAGGCAACCCCCCACATCAGCCTGGAGACAAGACGTCACCGACCCAAAGGACTGCACCGACATCTCGAGATAGTCCTCCGATGTATGGCATGATTCCCCCTCCAGGCCCAGTGCGCCTGCCATCGGGGTTCACCGACCAGCGCCATGAATCCCTGGAGTCTTCAGAGGCAGACAACGAGGACTTCACGTATAATGAAGCCGAGCAAGAATGGGAAACCATTTTGGAAGCCTTTGACACGTTTTCCCATTTCCTGGGTCGGGATTTCCAGCCCCTACCCGCAGATATCACACCTCCCATCCCGACCCCATTTGGACCAGCCCTGCAGTACCGCACGCACACGATCGCGGTCCTGTGGGGGTTCTACTACGCCGGACGGATTCTGCTACTACGACTACATCCCTCCATGCCCCCGGCAATGATGGTTGCCGCCGGAGTCGCAGCCCGCACGACAAGCGAATATGCGCAAAACGTCGGCAAGATCATGGCGGGCATCTACTATCCACAGCGATACAATCTCGAGGCCGGTAGCCTCAGCCCCACATTGGGCACGTCCCTGACCGAGATGACTGTGCCCGTCTTCTTTGCGGCGGTGCAATACACAGACGCCACACAGCGTGGCTGGACAATCGCCAGGCTGCGCGAGATCTCCCGGCTGACGGGCTGGAAGTCCTCGGACGCTGTGGCTGCCGGCTGCGAGAATTCATGGATCGTGGCGGCGAAGCACGGGCGCGGGCCGCCTTACAGTAGGACGCAAGACAGCGCTCGCGAGGTAAGTAACTGACTAGTGGCGAACTTGCTGGTCGGTGCCTGGAGCTAACTACCATCCTTGTCCATAGCGACCCGGGTTCAACGCCGTGAAGCGCGATGACGATGCCAATCATGACCGACGGTTCGTGACCGTCAGTGAATCAAACCGGCTTCATTGGGCGTTTGGGATACTGAGTCTAGAGGATGATGTCGACGACATGGATTGATAGTAGCGTAGTAGTTAGCTAGTCAACTAAGTTGTAGTAACTACTTGAGCCTCTGCCCCAAGAGTCTAGTGTCACTTAGTCCCGTCACTGCCACACCCCACATGCGATGCCATCATCCTTTTCCTTTTCCACTTCTTGCTTTTTCTCTTTTCCCTCACCTCAGCCACTTCGATTCTCCTACTTCCTGTCCTATCGTTTGGTTTTCGTCCCTCTAGACTCCCCATCAACTACCACCACCATCGTCACCCGTGGTTCTCACCCCCCACTCTCACACTGCGGCCCGGAGTCAGCCGCCCGCGTCATCCACGGTTCTGGTCATCCAGACTCGGCAGCGTGTTTGTGATTAGCAACAATAAAAATCACCCACCATGTCGCGCTACAACGACGACTACCGCTCATCAACCGGCACCCTCGACTCCCGCGACCGCTACGACCGCTACTCGCGAGGGCCACCGGTGGCCGAACGTCCCCGCCATGCTGATGAGGAACGGTTCGAGTTCCGACTCCGCGAAGAAGACAGCTACGGTCCTCCCGCGCGCGCTCCAGACCGATACTACGAAGACGACCACCTGGACCACCCTCCTGACCGTCGGCGGCAGCAGCGCCGCGACGACAGCCCGGACTTTCGTCCGCCGCGCCTGGTGAGACGGCAGTCGTCCCTCGATACCTTCGACCGTCTCCCGCCGCGCAGGATGGAGGCACCCTTGCGGCGCAGTGGTCCTGGTGCCCCTCCTCCGGCGAGGAGCAGGGGTGCTGGCCCCGTGCCTGCGCCGCCGCCACCTAGGCGCCGGTCACCGCCTAGATATCATGAGCGCGAGGTCTATGAGGAAATTCACATCGCTGAGCCCGAGTACTACGGTGACGAGGAATATCGTGATATCAGAGACAGAGACCGCATGGCTGCTCGTCGACGCTCGAGTAGCGCGGCCAGGCATCGTGAGGAGAAGCCCTATCCTCGCAAGGGAAAGACTCGTCTTCCGAGGAAACTGGCGCATACGCGTGCTATTTCCGAGCTTGGGTATCCCTACAAGGAGGAGGTCGGTGGTTTTTTTCTTTTACCGTCGTTCAAAAGATCCAGTGCTAATGTCGAGTCCAGGATAATATGATTATCATCCAAGTGGCGCTGTCGAAAGACCAGATCGACCAGGTTATCAGCTTGAGCAAAGAGTTTAGACGCCGATCAGAGAGTATGTCACCTTATGGATGATCCACTCCAAGACACAGAGAACTGATGTTATGTGTTAGCGTACTACGTCGCCAGATCACCCTCTCCGATCCGACGACCCCGAGAACGAGTCACGACAGAGACTCTCCTCGTCCGCTCCCCCTCTCCCCGATCTAGTCATGAAGAGTTCATCCTGGAATCGTCTCCATCGCGATACGAAGATATCGAATTCGAAGAAATCATCGAGCGGCCGCGTCACTTCCAAACCATCTCCCGTCCCCGCTCTGTGTCTGTCCATGGTCGCAGAGTATCGTCGCCCGCGCGATATGTGGAACCTCGGTTTTTCGAGGAGCGCATCGAATCTGATAGTCTCCACCCCGGTTCAATGGTTTTAGTCCGGCCGAGAAGCAGCGAAAATGATGTCCGCGACCTGGAACGGGAGATCCGCACCCTGCAACTCGAGCGACAGGGTGGTATTGAAATCACCCGGGAACGCGAGACGGATTGGATCGATAGTAATGGCAATGAGGAGGAGATTACGGAGCTCTCAAGGTCTGAACGCCGACGTATGTGCCCTGGTGTGTCCTGCGTGAGATCCTATACTAACCGCAGGTACAGAACCGAATTCCCGGATTGTGCGGGCGATGTTTGCCACTTTGACGTGATAAGTGCGATGGATGATGATGTTCTTCTCTTCAGCAGTGTTTTAATGAATCGATCTTTCTTGCCATCTCCCCAGTATGTCATAGTTGTTGTTGTTGCTGTAATCGATAAAGTGATGCCTGAAACACGTGGTCCAGCAAGGCGGTGCGGGCCTCGAGCACGAGCACAAGTGCCTCTCCGATCTTCTCCTATCAACCACTCACCATTTACCCTAACAACACCACATCTCCCTCCACTGTCAGCCATCATGGATCGAGTGCAGGCATTCGGTAAAACCTTTAGGTTCGTCATGCTGTCTGTTTATCATATTGGTGTTCATTATGATATACCCCCGGGGAAGTGTCTCGCCTACTGACATCGTCTTGTTTGTATCTCGCTGGGAAATAGCGCGAATTTCTCGCCCTTTGCCCAACGCACACAGCAGCTGATCAAGGAGCAGCTGGGTCAGGCCGACGAGAAAACCCAGCTCCCGGATGAATACATCGAGCTCGAGAAGCGCGTCGATGCCCTGAAGCTCGTGCACCAGAAACTGTTGCAGGTGACGTGAGTTGTTTTCTTTCCCAAATCACCGCCACACTCGACACAAGCTAACAACAGCAATAATAAAAAACAGTTCCCAATACTCCAATGAGGCCTACGACTACCCGCCCAACATCCGCGAATCCTTCAACGACCTAGGCCGCACGATCAACGACAAGGTCACGCTCCTCTCGCAGGCCAACTCGCCCGCCGAAGCCCAAGCCGCCCTGACGGCGCCCCCATCCGCAAAGCCGCAGCCCAAGACCTTCAACCACGCGATCGCCCGCGCCTCGCTCGCAGGCTCGCAGACCCTGGCACAGAGCTCCGAGACCGAGGACCCGCTGGCCAGTGCGCTGGAGAAGTACGCCCTGGCCGAGGAGAAGGTCGGCGAGGCCCGTCTCGCCCAAGATGCACAGATCCAGTCCCGGTTCCTGGCCGGATGGAACACCACCCTGAATACGAACTTGATGTTTGCTGCGAAGGCGCGTAAGAATGTTGAGAATGCCCGTCTTATGCTTGACTCTATCAAGGCGAGCAAGAAGGCTGCTGCGCGCGGTGATCTGGACAACCTGAGTGAGGATGCCCGCGCGGAGATCGAGCAGGCTGAGGATGAATTTGTTGGTCAGACGGAGGAGGCTGTCAGCGTGATGAAGAACGTATGTCTTTCCCTCCAACCCTTACCTTACCTTTGCCCGTACTAATTGTGTAGGTCCTTGATACCCCCGAGCCCCTGCGCAACCTGGCCGACCTGATCGCCGCCCAGCTGGAGTTCCACAAGAAGGCCTACGAGATCCTCAGCGAGCTTGCTCCCGTCGTCGACGGCCTGCAGGTGGAGCAGGAGGTGAGTTGGGCCCAATCTGTTCCCGTGCACCCCTAACTCTGTGTTAGGCCAGCTACCGCAAGAGCCGTGAAGGCGCATAAGCGGTGCTTCTCTCTTGATTTTTGGTTGTTTTTGTTTCCTCTCTCTCACTCAGCCGTGGGTCCTGCATGCCCTGTGTATTTACCCCTGTTGCTTCTACTGTGTTCATTCTACGGAATCACAAACTCTGTAACTTGAATTGAGTCGCTTCATAAATACATCACACAATAATGTAGCTGGTAGTTACGTAGGGGTGTTCAGACCCACCGCCCTGTGATGCCTGAGGCAGCCACAACCCGCAGCTCCAGAGCTCCGGCGTTCAACTTCGCTCTCGTCCTGGCTGTATCCCCTCCACCACTTCCCCCTGGCATTCCTTTGAACGACACTGCAGCTGTTCAAGTACAGTGTCAACTCACCCACGAACCGTCTACCCGTTCTCCGTTACGAATCGCCACCGTCGAGACTTCTTGCTTAGGTGGCCGTTGGCCGTTCAGTATTCGCGCTATCCGGTGGATACGAAGCGTTTGGGATCATTGCGGACAGGATAGATTATTCGGCAAGGACTTTGACGACATCACCGTTTCGATCCGATTCCTCTCCGAAGCGTTTTCGTGTTGTGCGCTCCCGCCTTCTTCCTTCCTGGACTCCGTGAACATCATCGCATCCCGCATCCCGCCAATCACGCAATAAGTGCTCGGTCAGGCCATTGCAGTGCATTGGTTTTATCAGTTCAGAAATTGCATCTTCCGGGAAATCAAGCGGGAAATCTACGATACCATCGCGGGCTCCTCAATCGCGCCCGCACCTACCAATTCGCATCGTCGAGATACATCATCGCAACGCGGACAAAATGGCAAGCGGGTACGTCTGGTCTCCTTCTTTCCTTGTGGCCAATGCCTTGGCCGGGACAACACATCCTATGTACCTCGGGGATTGGACAATGATATGTTCCTTTGGTTCAGGATATCCCTCTATTGACCCGGGGGAATAACCCCTTACTGTTTCGGTTCCAATTTCATTTCCGGATAAGTGCTAACGTATAACTACTCTAGCTGGAGTCTCCTTATCGGCCTCGTTATCATCGTGGGTGCTTCGCTTGCGGCATGGTACCTTAGCCCGAAGGGCGATAACCAGACGTGAGTTTCTCCTGCCCTGTTTCCCGCCTTACAACCAAACAAACGAAATGGAATAGAATATATGTGCTGACACTTCTTCTTATCAGACTCTGGCGCAGCACGCTGATCCTCTCCTTCGTATCTTGCTATTTGATGTGGGGTACGTTTCTTTCTTTCCTTACACCTCAATATAAAAATGAATCCAGCTAACCCACCTGCCCCAGCAATCGTCTTCCTCGCACAGTGGCACCCCCTCATCACGCCCAAGAGATCCGACATGCGGCCCGAGCGTGTACCGGAGTAAACAACCCCTATTTTCTTGCCGCATTTGGTGTTTGTTGATAATGATCATGGTCATATCGTGTGGGAGATGTAGATCCACTCAGCTTTTGGTTTCGTTCCTCGTGGGCTAAAAAGCCACGGTCTTCCTGGCGAGATGGGTGGATGGATGCGCTTGAGGCGCGGGTGTTTCTGCTCTGTACAGTTTTTTATCACATCGTCTCGTAGCTTCATTGCTAGATATATCTATCTGTTTCAATTCTCCTATGCTCGTATTGTGTATTAAAATTCCAGTGTCTTTGCAAGTAAATTCACGTTCACGGAAATCATATTCTTCCTATCTAGTCCGTAAGTGATAGGTTTATACATAGGACGGCCAAGCATAGTCTTTACGGAGTAGAAGATGTCAAGTTCGCATGATTATTATTAGTTACAGTTATTTGGCAATGGAGGAGCCAGTGAGTACTTGAAGGACGCCACACGCTAATGTTATACAATCACGAGACCAGGCAACATCTAGCCCACTCCCACAGCACCCAGAATCACTTTCTGCACCGCCCACCTCGCCACCTGCCCTGTCACAGCAACAGCCACAGCACGGAGATACCCGCACCCAAGGAGAATGTACAATGCCTCGATATTACTCAAAAGCACAAGATGGGTATCAACCACGCCCAGTGAAAGCAACGAAGCAAGCAGATCAAACAGCGCAGTAAGATACGTAGTTGGCGTCGAAGCGCACAGCGACGACGCAGCACTCGCAAGCCAGGATTCACTCTGATCCGAGAACGCAGCCCCAGCTGAAGACGTGTGGCCGGCGAGTGCCGTGGCAGTTCTTCTGAATGCGCTGTGCATGGGTGCTGAATGTGCAGATGAACGTTCCGCTCCTCCGGCAGCGTGCTCGTTGGAGTTACCGTTGCCGTCGGTGCCCCAGATTACTAGGAGGATGGGGAACAGCTTGGCGCAGCTGCTGACTAGGAGCGCGGTACTGATTGCTGCGGGACTGGCCGCTGTTGGTGGCGGTAGGGGTTGGATGTTTTGTGGGGGTGCTGTTGACGCACGTCGGAGTGGTGGAGGGGCCCGCGTTAGATGAGATGGGCCCTGCGGGTTTTCTGTCGGAGAGGTAACGTCGGTGGAGGAGCCTGGGTTTGGGGTTGTTCTCGTTGGACTTGTGGCGAGACTGCCGGCGAGCTGCGACTGAGTAGTGAAGGACTGTGACGATGGTGATGCGCGGATAGTGGTAGGCGTGGGAGGTCCGGATGGGAAGGGGGTAGTGTCGGCGGTACCATTGCTGCTGGAGTCCACGCCACCATAGCGGTGGGACTTGGGCACCAGTATTGAGGCTAGAAGACGGACTGTGAGGTGGTGCGCAAGGGTTGCCGCCGCATTGAGACTTAGGAAGAAGAGATATTGAATGACGATGGGGGCGCGTGAGACAAAGGTGGTCGCCAGCGAGGGGGACTTTTCGAGGCGCGCCCAGGTTAGATAGACGTCGAAGAGGAGAAGGAGGATGCCGAGACGGATAATTGACCGCTAAAGAGAACTCATTATTAGCTCTGTAGTCATGTCATGTTGGACGCGGCGATACTCACATCGAACTTGTCGTCGTCTCGCCCGAGGCGATTGAAGAGGAGATGACGGTACACCTAGCTCTAGCGGTCAATTGAGTCCTTAATTCATGTTTCCCATGCGACGCACCTGTGGCTTAATGAGCACCAGGTCGATAAAGAGCACGACAAAGTCATATTCGACGTATTTGTCGGCGAAGCGGTGGCAGCGTGGACATTGGGTGAGTCGCACGCCCTTGCCCAGCGAGCGGTCGTCCGCGCGGCTGTAGGTGCTATACAGATGTGAGACTGGGTAGGAGCATTCGATGCAGATGGGCATCGTGTCTGTCGCGCAGACGTGCGACGAGCAAAAGCTGGTCGATAAGCTTGTTGATGCGATAGGGAGACGACCCAATCGGGCACCAACTTAGGTTAGGGTTTGTCATATCTCGTGACTCTGCTCGAAAAGGAAGGGGAGGCACCAATATGGCGAGGCTGCTTACTTGGTTGACCCGTGCTTCTCCGATGAATATCACGGCCGCGTCCTGCCCCACTACTATATGTAGCGGATCGGTGTTCCCAGGCTGCGGGCAGTGTTTTCAAGGTCTCTCTAAAATTAATTAGAATTAGAAAATAAGTAGTCTATGAGAAGGTAGATGTCCAGGTCTATCTCATTTTTTTTTTATAGAACTATATTCTGACCTAGACACACTGTTCTGATTCAACCTTGTAGCGGAAATTCAATTCCATCAAAGAGCGTCTCCCATCCTTGCCACTGATGGCACATCCGGTGAATACTCCTTCCACCCTCTGGAAAGAAAGCTGCTCGCTCCCAGTCAATGACACCTGGCACTGCATCCATATTCGGATGCAACACAATGTTTGAGAGGTCCCAGTCCATATGCGACAATACTGCCTTGCTGAGCGGATTGATTTGGTGGATGAGATGGGCGTCTTCCTCCTTGTACGACCGGAGAAAATCCCCTGTAGACTGAAAGGGTCCACGGTGAGGAAGCTGATTATGAATTATTTCACCCGAAGCACTTAATGATCGAACGCCGCCAGATTCGTTGGGAACCTTTGCGAGTGCCTTGATATAACCTTGCACTTGGAGCTTGATCCCCTCTTGTTGGCGTGGGGAGATGCTGTCCCATATTGGACCTTCGAATATGGTAAAGCCTGGGATTCTTTCAAATACATTGAAGCTATAACTGATGAGTCACTTGTTCAATACATTAGAGCGTAATCTCACTTACCCTTCTCCCCGATACACTAACTTTGGCACGGGGATATTCGTATACTGACGGACGATCTCTAGGGTGCGCAATTCATTTTCATCGCGCTGAGAAATTGTGGGAGTTTTAGGCTCGTATCCATCAAAGCCTAGCTCACCGGGCTTCAGACCTTTTTTCACAAAACATGTTCTCTCAGCATATAGACATACCTATCAAATGGAGGAACAGGAAGATTCTCAGGTCGGCATTTCTTTAGCCATTCTTCGTCAGCAGAATATGTCATGGTCAGTTAGGCTGGTTCGGTAGCAAGGCGACCAAAGTTGACGGTGTATTGAGAGGGAACAGAGTGAGTATCTGAAGGATAACACAACATGCTTATCCGTCTATAAGAACAATCATATAGTTATTACTGTTGGTTTACACAGTCCCTTTAGCGGTGAACGGCGGGGGCTTCCACACCTAAGCGCTCCCAATCCTGGGGAGTTGGGGCTTAGTGCGAAGGCCGTGGGTACGTGCAACAGAAATCCAACAATTCATTAACACAGCCGGGATGAACAAGCGCATACAGCAAAGAGTGCGATCGGCAGTCGACAGGCTAACAGCTAGATTGCTCAAATTTGTTGAAGAGGGAGCCGTAGGTAGTTGTTAGATTGGAATTGTGTCAAACACTCAAGCAAATCATGAGGTTAGCCTTTCGATACGAACCCCAGTTGCTTGTTGCCTAAAATCCTGATGCTTATCAACAACGCGTTTTTACCAACGATCTTCATCCTCCCCGGCACTGTGTGGGGTTACCATCTAAGAAAAGAAGCACCACAAGGCTGTGGAGTAGTGCTGTAGGTGAATCAGGGGGTTCTGGCCGAAACCAACAAGCGCTACTAAGCACTGAGATGAAGTCAAGATGCCTCCTAACATCGCATTCGGATTGTTACCTCGATAGCTTTCAATGGGTTGAATTCTGGAATACTTCAATATGCTTTCTAAATCTTCTTTTCTTTTAGCCTTGACCAGCGGCTTGTCTGCTATGGCCCGCCATAGCGAGAGGTGGTCAGAGCAGCCCTGCCAGCAGATCAGCCATTTGTCTCAATCAAATATCACCACTTTCCCTGGAGATGTGGCTTATCAATGCCTTCTCTCAATCCCATTCCAAGCCCAACGATCGATTGCCTTCATTGAGGATCTTCGAAAATACATGCAATGGCAGTCCACGATTGATACGCTTAAGAATCCTCCTACTGCTTACCTGTCACTATCGCCGGCGACCGACATCCTCGGTGGCTTAGACGACCTGTTAGAGAAGGCCGCCCACACCCACTTCACCAGCCAATTCGAATTTGATACTGCGGTCACCAATCTGCTTAAAACCGCTGAAGATGGACACCTATACATGATCCCGTGTAGTGCGGGTATCTTTGAATTCTCGATTGATTTCCCTATTGTCTCAATTTCATCTGATGGTCTAGAGCTTCCAAAGATCTATGGAATGAGTAAGTTATGAAAATCAACCTGACCTTTTCACAGATCGCACGGCTAATGTTATTAGGCGATTCTGCACTTCTGTCAACTCACCGAGATAGTGTGTCGGACATAGTCTCCATAAATGGACAGCCTGCCGAGGAGTTCTTTATCCAATACGGGCTGAAAATCGGCGGGTTCCAAGACCCTGATGCACGGTGGAACAATATCTTCAACTCGAATGTGCGAGGTGGTGGGTATTACAGCGCTGGCAGTTGGGAGAGCCCTGGTGTATGGCCAGGTGCCTGGGAATTCAAGCTGCGTTTTGCCAACGGCACTGTTCACTACGTCCAGACAGTGGTCAAGGGCGGTTCTTCTTTTAACTTTACAAACGGGCAGGCTCTTTACCAGAAGGAATGCATCGACCCGTTGATTCAGGAAGCCCACTCGACCTTACCTGTTAGGTCGTCTACTTTGACTCCATACACTTCTTATCCTTCCTCGTGGACTCCTACTCCGACTGCTTTGGCGTCTTCCAGCCTATCCCACTCTGGGCCGACTTCTGTCAGCCCAACGAGCTCGGCGTCAGCCTCCCAGGTATACCCGCAGCCTGTCGTTTCTAATACTGCCGGCGGAGTCAATGGGTACTATCTGCACGATAAGGATCTACGGAATGTGGCTATCCTCTCGGTCATTGATTTTGAGACCTTCGGAGATCCTGCCAGGTCTATCATCCAATTTCTGCAAGACGCTAAGAGCGCCGCCAAAGAGAAGATCATCATTGATCTGTCGAGCAACTCGGGTGGCACTATCACTAGCGCACTTGATATGTTCAAGATCTTCTTCCCTGACAAACCTGCATACTCGGCAACTCGCTTCCGCGCCCATGAGGCGATTGACCTTATTGGCCAGGCCCTTGGAGCCATCAACCACAATAATACACATGGCTTCTCATATTATCATTTCGAGCAGTTCATGCCTTCCGGATATGTCACCCCGAACCAAAAAGAGAATTTTTCCTCCTGGAAACAGGTGTTTGGCCCGGTTTATGAGCTTGGCACCAATATGTCTACTCTACACGCAGTGTTTAACGAGACGTATGAGTCTACGCCCAGTTACCCTATTAATGGATACGACGGCATCCCAGTCGAACCGAAAACCCCTCTCTTCTCTCCGAAAGACATCCTGATCATGACCAACGGCGAGTGCTCTTCATCCTGCACTGTCTTTGCCGAGATGATGAGGAGCCTAGCAGGCGTGAAGACATTGGCGTTCGGCGGCCGCCCACAGCATGCATCAATGCAGGCAATCGGCGGCGTCAAGGGCGGCGAAGAGATGGAATCGAGTACAATCCGAAACTTGTACAACAAAGCCAACGACCTAGCTGAGGCAGCAGCCAAAGATGGCAAGCCGATTCTTTCCGAGATGCAGCGTTTGCGCCTGAAGGAGCTGACTCCCGCCGCGGTTCCTCCTCTGTACTACTCTGGGAGCGTTAACTACCTCAACAATTATCGTCGCCAACAGCAGCATATCCCCCTACAGTTTATCTACGAGCCGGCTGACTGCCGCCTCTTCTATACCTACGAAAATTACGCTCATCCCGCCACCTCGTGGGCTTCTGCGGCGCGTGCCATGTGGGGTAATAACCGTTGTGTTGCAGTCTCCTAGGCACACAGTTCCTTTTTTGGGGGCGGGAGAAATGAACAGGGGTTGGTAATTATCCCCTCTAGTCATACCCATGATATGATGAAATGGAGGGCTTTGATATGTTACTGAGTGGTCGAATTTAACTGATATGTCTGGAGTTGAATCTACTCATCCTGGTCACTTTTGAGGAGTAAATGCTCCTATGCAATACCTGTGAAATGCGTCCGCCTTCTTGGTTCTAATTCCGAAGGTGATTTAGCAACTTAATCAATGTCCTTTCTCATAAAAACAGTCCTCGTATCCCAAAATTTAAGTGTCTTGTCTGGCTGATAGTAGCCCTGTATGGTCTTAACCGATCGGTAGCCCCGTCTGACATACCACTCCTGGGTGGTAACCTGCAGACTATTAATCGCTTTCCCAAAGACAACCTTATTCCATTTATCTTACCTTCGGTAAGCCCCCGAAATAGAATTCTGCGAGTTCCTTTTTCCTTTGATCGTCCTGGTGGACCGTATCCAGCATCAAAGTTCTAGCCAGGAGAGGCTCTTTGACGGCCATAGTCTCAACTTCGTCTAGCGCAGCTCGCCCAATACCCTTGCCCTGTAAGGCATGTGTGACATAGAAAGTCTTAATCCAGAAAACGCCTTCCGACGGCATATCTAGCTCGATGTCTTTTGGGTGAGGGTTGCCTTCGTCTAAAGCGATATGGCCAACTGGAATGAAATCTCTCTTTGATGCGTTCCGTGCCACACCGTTAATATAGGCAGCGGTATCCTGGAGCATTTGAGCTTCCTGGTGGTAATATATTAGTACCTACTTATATATCAGTCCTTTTGCGTACCTTCGGGTACATGTTGAGGTGAAGTTTCGTCTTCTCATCCGCCTCGGCATCATCGGGAGAAATAATCTGTTTGCTATAATATCAGCCTCTAACTTGAACTAATGTTTATAATCCTTTATTCAATTTTTCGAGATTATTGTGTGAAAAGGCGAGCTCACAATCCAGTATAGGCATTTATCTCCTCTGATTTGGCTGTCTCGCCAGCTGGTTGCAACCTTTTCTTCATCCCATCTACACTGCACTCGCTGTTCCACTAGCCGTTGCACATGAGTCGTAGATTCGGGATCCCATGGGATCAAAATCACCTGTGATTTTGAGCTCATAATGGTAAAAGGAAAAGTTTCTATGGTTTGAAGGACAAGGGCGAACAAGAGGAATGAATCCGTATAAAAGCTCGAATGAGCAGAAGCAGATACGAGGCCAGGGGTAGGTAAAATGAGTCAGTCCCCCGCCAATTAAAGATCGAGCTTCAACGTTAGACTAAAATAGTCCGTGGGGATTTAGCCATGTTTCGAGCTAGCGCCTTGGCAGGGGGCCTTGAAGTAAGAGAAGAGTGTAGAACCAGTGTTTTATTCACATGGTGATTGCCACTTGTGTCTCTCTATCTTGTGATGCTATAAATAATCCTTATATTGCCTCTTCTATCACAACCCAGTATGCTTAGCTGTGAATCTCGGGCAGCACAAACAGATTCCAGTACTCGTCAAAATCCAGCGTTTGTGTCGCTCCAACACTGCCACTCTTGGTCTCTCTCAAAGAAAATCCGTTACCCAGGTAGGCGAATCGATTCGAGCGAGCCTCCGGGAGACGCTCGATATGGCAGTCCTCCCAGCGCGGGTTTTTGAGGGCCTCCATGAAGTGGAATGAGGTGCCACCGTAGATCGCGACAACAGGCCCGTCAACAGTGCCGCGCTTGTACCAGCTTCGGCAGCCACGCGTCCACACAGTTCGCTCCAGGAACTGCTGCATGTGCTGGTTGTACTCGTCATTGGCATCTTGCCTGACCACGAAACTACTGACCATCTCTGTCTGCAATTTCTCAAGCCATTTATAGACGTACACTGCCGTTGCCTGGATCCCCAGCACCAAGGAGCCGTTGCTAATGGGGCTATTGGGCCCAATGAAGCAAAAGTAATTGGGCATGTCCGGCACCAGCATCCCGAAGTACGCCTCGGGCTTCTCGGTCTCCCATTTCTTGGCAAGATTGACACCGTTGCGTCCAATCATGGGGAATGAGGGCCGGAATGATGTATCAAATCCGGTGGCACACACAATCACGTCGTACTCTTTCTCCTCGCCCGACCGTGTCATGATTCCCTTCTCGGTGACCCGTGCGATATCATCCCACCGCAGATCGATATTGTCCTGCGTTAGGGCTTCCAAAAATCCAGGTCCTGGTGTCTGTCGTCGGCATCCAACAGGGAAGCTGGGCAGCAAGTACTCTGCCATCTTTCGGCCCTTGGGGGTATCACCCAGCCGCTCGAGCATACTCTTGCGGAAGATCTCTTGAGCACGTTTCTGGACATCGGTGTCGGCAATGGCACGCTTGAAGTTTTCAATTCGGCGGTCCATTATAGCTGCCCGGTAGTCGCGCAATACCTGGGGATCTTTGAACATATCCAAGCTGCCCTCGGTAAAGTTGTACTCCGAGTCCATGTCCGGGTCATTGGCAGTCGGCTCGTTGATACCCGGTGCTGGCGAGATCCAGGTCTGTGTACGAACGTAGACGTCCATTGTGTCGACAACCTTGGCAAGCTGCGGCACGATCTGGATTCCAGAAGAGCCGATGCCGATGCTTGCTACTTTCTTTCCTGTGAAGTCGTACTCATCATCCCACCGGGCTGAGTGAACGAGCTTGCCTTTAAAGGTCTCAATGTCTTCAATATTCGGCCACTTCCACTTGCTATATGTGAGACATCTATTAGCGTGAGCTCAAAAGGAAAGAGGGAGCCAGCGACTAATGACTAACTTCAGAACACCGCCAGCGTTGATGAATACATCCACTTCATCATCGAGCACAGACCCATCGGCCCTTTTCACCTGAATCTCCCATTTCGCCGTATCCTCATTCCAAATGGCCGACTTGATGGTATGCTGGTACTTGATATACTTGTTACAGTCATACTTGTCCGCCACACCGTGCATGTACTCATGGATCTGCTGCGAAGTGGCATAGTAGTTTGGCCAGTCAGGGTTGGGCGCAAAGCTGTACGCGTAGTTGTGTGCGGGGATGTCACATTTGCACCCTGGATATCTTTTGGTTCTAGTGAGTATATGGAAATAGCATGCAATCGAGGCTTATTTACCTGTTTTCAAGCCACGTGCCCCCGAGATCCTCGTTCCGCTCATAAATGACGAGCTCGGCGTTTTTATCCTTCATCTTCTCGCTGAATACAATCGCCATCATGAGTCCCGAGTATCCAGCGCCCATACAGGCAACTCGGATCGGGCGCCGGGTGCCGATAGGCTGTTCAACGATTTTGTAGAAAGGATCGAGTTTGGCGTGGGCATGCGCAGAGCCATTTTGGTGACTGTTGACCCCATTTTGCGCGGGAAGTGCATCAACAGGATCCGAGTGTACCACGGAGGGTGCCATAGTGGTGGGAGAAATTATCGGCTATGATGCGACTATGACTTGAGAGCACACCTTCCAGGAAGAAAAATCACAAGTTGCCAGATACACGCATTTAAAACGAATCTTTCTTTTGCTATTCTCCCGTCCCCGACCTCGGCCAGAAAATCAATGTCCGTTGAGGCCTACTGCTCCTTCCAACCCTCTGGGCGTGCGAGGCTAATGCGGAGAACACGGCCGGACATCTTGTTCCGGCGCCTTTCCAAGTTGGGGCTACCAGTACCCGCTCCAAACGGAAGCCTGCATGTGGAGATCCCAGTCGGCTCCCCGCAAAATCCATTTCTGATCAGTGCTTTGAGTCCGTTGACAACGAAACCACCATGACGGCGACGAGCAAAGCAATTCAAAAGGGCAGTCGAGAATCGCGCGTGTCTCGCCCGCCTCGATCTGCCGGAACGTGCAAAACGTGCACTCCCTGTCGCCAGAAAAAAGTCAAATGCGACGGGACCAAACCGCAGTGTCTCGAGTGCAGCACCGGTGGCCTCGATTGTGTCTATCCTCATGATGCCAGACGCGAACCAAGGCCATCAAAGGCCCGCGTGCAGATCCTTGAGGCCACGGTGATGGCCATGCTTGAGCACATGAAGACATCCGGGATTATCCCGCCTAATATGCGGCCCGGAGACTGGATGCCGCGTGAAAATGGGAGTGTCGATAGCAATAATGAAGGCACTTTTGCTACCGGCGATGTTCAAGATATGCGTAATCATCTTTCCCAGGATGGCAGCCTAGGTCATCTCGCGTCAACTGCAGCCGTTGCCAGCCCGCTGCCCACCCCGTCTACATCAGTATCAGGGGCGAGCAAGCATGGCTTGCCCTCATATTTTTTGTCCCCGATGGCCTCGGCAAATATCAGCTCATCGGAGTACCCGCATGAGTATTCCGGGGCAAATGCCGTGCAGAATGCGGATATACAGCCAGAACTTGTGATGTCTCAATCGCTTCCAGAACACGCGCTTCCACCAACGCCTACAGATATTGCTTCCAGGCCTGAAGTTCCAAGCCAGGAACAGGCACAGACCCTTGGCACAAACATATCCAAGGAGAACGACGCTACTGCTGCCACTGGTACTGGAGGCGTGTCGGGCATGTCCCCTTGTGAAGCCCGCGTTGCGGGGGCGTTTCACGAACACGGGTGTGTCTCGTCAGTTCACGGACTAGCCAGCATTATGAACCCAGTGTCAAGGGCACAACATAAAGAAAACATATCAAAAATGGCATGGAAAGGCGACAGCGCTATTGCGGCCTCCAAAGCACGACTCATCAGCAATGCCGCTCTTCAGCGGCAACGGGAGCCTCGCATCTTTCGTCAACCAGACAACTTCGTTGACCTTGATGGCTGTGCACCTGAACTGGCCAAACATCTTCTGGACCTCCACTTCAACCGGCAGCATTATGCCTACCTCGTCTCTTACCGGCCAGCCATCACGGAGAGTCTCGTCAATGGCGGTGGACCCTGGATGAATAAACTGCTCCTCAATGCAATATACTACTCCAGCACACTTTATAGCGACAGACACGGCTTAAGATCAGACCCGGATGACCCAAACAGCACCGGATCCCACTTTTACAGGAGGTTTCTCCAGCTGCTGGCGGATGAGATTGACAAGCCCAGTATTCCATCTGCGCAGGCTCTGCTGTTGACAAGTGCAACCTTAGTATCCCATGGAAGATCAAGCGCTGGTTGGAATTTATCTGGCACAGCATATCGCATGATAATTGATATGGGATGCCACTTGATGCTTGGTCCCGATTACCAGAGCATGTCGAAAACAGGCCACGGCCAGCTTTTTAGACGAGATATGGAGCAGGAAATGCGCAAACGACTATACTGGGGCGCTTTCGTCACTGATGCCACCCAATCTCTCTATCTCGGCCGACCATGTATGTTTGCAGCCGCCGAAGCGAGAGTGCCATTGTCGTTTCTTGACACTTTTGAGGAGCTCGAAGACTGGGAACCGTACATTGACCCTTTATCTCCTGCTGAGCCGCCACCAGCGTATGCGCCACAAGCTGCGCATGCTGTCTCAACTTTCAGCTGGCTTGCTCGTCTTTTCCAGATATCGACTCGGATCACCGACCTGTACGGTCTGCAAGCAATAAAATGCAGCTCGGAGTATCTGCAAGACAAAAAGGCTTCGATTGAAAAAGACCTCGATTACTGGAGTGCATCATTGCCGGCCCACCTAAGGTTCGATCCGGATGGGCCTTTTACGCCACCACCGCACCAAATAACACCACAGTAAGCTCTGCCTCTGCAGGAATTTTGAACTTAATCTAATTTCGCACTATTAGCACGACCCTCCATGCCTTGACTATTCTCCTCCACCGTGCATTCCTAGAAGAAGGCCATCTTCACCGCCATTGTGATGAAGGCGGCCGCAGACGCAGCGAAGAGGCATGCATTACTAGTGCACTAGCAATTCAAAAGCTAGTCCGCGCATACAAGAGAGCCTTTACTCTCCGTCGCGCGCCATTTTTGTTATCCTATGCTATCTACTCGGCTGTCATAGTGATACTCCGCCAGGAGCGGCACGAACGAGGACAATTCATGGAACCCATCTCCTTCTTCTGGACTTGCCTGAGTGAGCTGCAGCACGGGTGCAACTTAGGTCTGCAGAAACCACTTAATATCTTGCGAGACATGGTGCATGAATTCCAGGTCAGCATTCGAGAAGGTGGTGCAGGTGAACATGAGTTGCCCCAAATCTCTGGCTTGAACGAGACACTTTTCTCACTGCCCATGAATCAGGGCCAGCAGAGCATGATCACAGATACCATGAACACGCAGATGGCTGGAGAGCAATCTCTGTCCCCAGATTACATGGGGATTATGAACCAGCCAGATTTGGGGTTTGGCACCTCGTCGCCGGGCTTCCTTGCCTCTTTGAATCAGCTGGAGAATGATATATCGCAAGATACTTTGTACGGACTATTTGCACCACCGCAATTGTTTCAATAATGTATTTATAATAGCGAATATGCTACTATGTCCTGGTAGCTGCTATCATCTTTCTCATAATCACTGTGTTCCCTCCACCTTCCACACCCTCCGGATATTAGGCTTAGCAGCGTTACTTCTAATGCGCAGCGTCCATTCCGTCACACCAGCCTGCCATTCTGGCCCTCCGAGGCCATTTTCCTCATCATAGAAATTGAACCCGTAGAAGTTCGCCGTTTCGGCCACCCCGTAGACCTTGGCTAGGGAGTACCGTCTCGCCGCTTGCCAGCCAGGCACTTGAGTCAGCTTGGCGCCATGCTCCTGATCATACCACGCGTGATAGTCTGCCTCTTTGTCTGAGCGGGGAGTAGAACCGTTGATCACGAGGACGGATCCTTGTGCTGGAGGCGTGGGCAGAAGGTGAGGGTTGGTCTGCAGCTCGTCCGCACTGCCTCTGTCCCGGCCATTAATAAAAGCACAGATTACCCACGAAGTATTAGGGTGGGCAGCTGTGTCGGCGTCATAATGCTCTTTTGACGAGAGAAGCGGCGAGATGTCGCTGAGAAAGTAGACCGTGTTATGCGCGGGTGTTTTGTTGTCGTCGGCTCTTAATTTGTACTTGCCCTCGATATTTGGGACCTCGATGGGGGAGACATTGTCAGAAAGACGCATGAGTACTCCAGGAATGGCCATAGTTGTGAGATGATCGTTGTTCCGTTTAAGGTATGTATTGCAAGATGGAGAGTATGAATCAAAGTGGCTATAATATCTGCCAAATCGCTCTGAAACATATAACTAAAGCAGAGATTTTCATTTGCTTAAGATCATGTATTCAGATCCACGGAAAGACTTGACTTCCGAGTGTAGAAAGAGCACTTCCGCTCCACAACAATGTTCATTTCTTCCCCGCATCTCTACCGGACATCGACGTCCGTCCTGAGTTGAGTTGGTGGAGCCCGGATAAGATTATCTCCAAGATGTAAAGAGTGACCTGACACATTCCCAAGATTTCTCTTTCTATTCAACCCTATTCTATCGTAGCTGACCTGACTTTCAAGTTCTCTCACTCTCATCATGGCCCCTCCGCTCGATCCTCTCCCTTCATTCGACCAGCTTCCCTTGCGCGAGGGCGACCCACCAAACTCGGCCTGGGGACTTTGGGGCAACGGGCCAGACAGTGCACTGGGATCCTTGAACTATTTGACCGACGAGTTGGTGTTGAAGACAATCAAGGAAGAGGTGAAAACCGGAGAGCGCATTGGCCTAAAGTATGTAACTGGACTGGATTAAAAACTGATTCGAAGCTAACAGATATTTTTCCCCGAAAACAGTCTCCCTCTTGATCTGTTCGATCCGCCACTTCTGGGACGGGCCGGTTTCGAGCAGAAGATTATCGACAAGAATCCGCTTGTAGTCAACGATGACGTGGTGAGCTTGGCTTTCTCAGGGGCAGATGGACAACCGGAACTAATCATCTAGATTACTTTCAACACTCAAGGGAGCTCTCAATGGGATAGCCTGCGTCATTTTGCGTATCAACAAGATAAGAAGTTCTATAACGGGTCAGTCAAGTCATCAACAACTCGAATGTTTACAAAAGCCAATCTCTTGGTATTAGGACGACTCAAGCGGATATCCACGCTTCTAGCCGAACGGAAATCAATGGCTTGCAGAGCTGGTGCTCGAAAGGGCTCGCGGGCCGGGGCGTATTGATTGACTATGTTTCGTATGCACAACGTCGCGGTATCGAAGTGAATCACTTCGCGGGTCACGCCATCTCAATCGAAGACGTGCTAGCTATCGCTGAGGAGCAAGGAGTCGAGTTTCGCACTGGAGATGTGCTTTTCCTGCGTACTGGCTATGTTGCCGCCTACAAGGCTCTAGACGCAGAAGGCCGAGAGAGGGTTTCCACCGTGCGTGAGTGGTGCGGCCTTGGTCAGTCCCGAGAAACGACAGAGTGGCTCTGGAAGAGACAGTTTGCTGCGGTGGTGAGCGACTCGCCGGGATTCGAAGTACGACGTGAGTGATAACCAACTGCTATCAATGTAAGATTTTCTTACTGACTGCTTTTTCGACATAGCCCCGACAGATAAGAAGTGGCATCTTCACCCAATCCTGCTGGCCGGATGGGGAACACCACTAGGGGAGCTGTTTGACCTAGACAAGTTGGCCGAGATCTGTGCCAAAAATAAGCGCTGGTCCTTCTTTTTTACGTCGGCACCGCTGAACTATACTGGTGCTGTGGCTTCACCTCCCAACGCGACAGCTGTTTTGTAAGTCCTTTGGGAGGAAGATGCTTGTTTATGTGAATAATTATGCTGTGGAGTATAGACGGGGTAAAGAATAAATTATCTTGAGTCAATATTGGCTATCCTTAACAGATAACTCTAATTATTTGGCACCACGTCTGAGCTCGTTGGACAAATAAAGCTATGAATCATCTATCTTCCCAAAAATCCCAGTCCTGATTCTACCCAAGTCGTTCTTCTTTGGTCCCCGCTCAACTCGTAGGCTTCCTTCCATGGCCCCTTACTTTGATTCTCAAAATTGGCCAACTCACTTTTACCTTCATATCGAGCAAAAACCAGCAAGCTTTCGTCCTGCTCTCCGTCTCCACGGTGCAACACCCAGAAACTATGCACCTGGTCGATTTGCTTTGCAGCTTGGGCAAGTCGGCGCAGCTGCTCCAGAACTTGGCCCTTATTTCCAGCCAGTGGCGTCAACTCATCCACAACGATGTAATGGTTGGTCCCAGTGGACGTCATGAAGTTAACAGGCTTGTTATCACGCGTGAGAAACCCCACAGACGTCGGTCGCCAGAAGCGCAGGTCGCTGGGACGTTCGAGCAGCGCCTCCTCGCCAACGGCGGCACGAAAGGCTTTGTATTCAGCGCTCGCGCGGTGAGTTACAGTATTTGCCTCAACATTTTCGTATCTGACTTCTGTCAGTCCGCGAATATATTTTCTGGGGCCATGATCTTACACTTCGAGCCCCCTCAGCCAATGGTGAGGGACAGTGTCATTGTCTTCGGCACTCCGGAACCAGGCATATGCCTGGCACTTGGGCTCATTGCTATGGGTGACCGGGGCGATTTTAGAGATATATTCAAGGAACTGTGAGGGGCAGAACAGTCAGCTTGAAGAAATCAATGGTTGGATTTATTTATTATCAATTCGACTTACGCGGTCTCGTTTCGCTGAAGAAGCGCAGTTTGAGAGAGGGGCAATGATGAACATGGTGTTCGTAGTGTTTCGAGATTCAGGATGGGTATTTTCTCGAGAGGTCGTTTCCCGAGATCATATCCGGACTCCTGGAATCCACCCGGAGAACAATGTCCATCGCCCTAGACACCACTCCCCACATCTCGGCAACTAAAAGAAATGTCGCCCCATTTCGAATCCTGGCCTTCAGTTTGATCCTAAGGTATTCACAATATGTCTGCCGCTGATACACCAACTCTGCCGGCCTCCTTCTGGGAGTCCGTTCTCGATCTCCCCTCCACATCGGACCGCCTCAGATGGTACATGTGTGTCCTAGTTAGCCTCTCTTCGCTCAACTATTCCGATGTAGTCCCGCAAGTCTACAATCACCTCGATGAGCACTTGTTGTCTACCATGTCTCTGGAGGACCGCTTTGCCGCGGCTCAAAAGCTTCGGGAGGGGCTGATTAAATCCACGGGCATCGTCGGCGCCGGGCGAACGGGTAACGCAATGCGAGCCTTGGCCGCGTGCATACCAGTTGAGCTCCGAGAGAAAGAATCGCCAAGATCTAAGGAGTCAGATGAGTCTGCTAGGCAAAGAGGGAAGGAATTTTGGACGAGAATCTACTCTCGGAATCGAGCTTTCGATCCTGAGGCTTCGGTGCGAGCTAGTCCCGACTATGCGTTTATTATCCGAGGTATGATACTCAATCAATTTGAGATGATTAAGAATAGCTAATGGATGAATAGAGGTGTTATATGGACGAATATTTTCCTTTGACGGCGTCATTGATGATTTGACAACGGGATATGTGATTGTCTCCGCGCTTTACGGCATGGACTGTCCGAACCAGTTGCAGCATCATATGAAGGGGATGCTAATCAATGGCGCCACGAGGCAGGAACTCAAAACACTTCAGGATCTGTGCTTGGGACTAGCCAACATTCTTGGTGTCAAATCCAGGCACGGACCTGCTCCTATTCCTGAGATGCCGGAGTAGAGACAGAAGACAAACACAGGAAATAGAAGAATAATGCGAATTCCATCAAATCGCAAAAAATCTTAAGACACATAGCTTTCCTTGTACTCATGCCATCCTTCGATCTCATTCCCTTCAGCGCCTCCCAGCCCTAACGTCCAGCGAATGGAATCCAGCATCCGTGCATCAAACACCTTAGTGGCTGGGAGATCTTGCCATCTTCTGAAACCATGGGGAAGGCCTGGAAAAACATAGACACCTGTAGGAATTCTGCGTGAGTGGGCAGCTGGTCAGCATTGCTTTTTTGATCTCTTATTGTCTCAGTAACTCACCCCAGTGATTCCAGCCTTCTAGAGAATAACAGTCCGTCATCTCTCAGCGGGTCCATTCCAGCTACCACAAATGCTGTTTTCGGCCAGTTACTTAGCTGCACATCGGGCACCAATGCCGTGTTAAGCAGCGGGTCGGCGGCGTCTGCACGAAGCATGTCACTGAACATCTTCAGTCGAGGCCATGGAATCACCGGTGCATCGCGGCATTGCATCTGAGCAGTCTTATCAGAAGAGGTGAATTTATTGAATGGATAATTATCCACATGGATAAGCCAGGGAATGCTCAGTGTCACGCCCTGGATCAAGCGTTGCCCCCGAAGATCGCGAAGTACCGCAGCCGCAGCGAGTCCAGCACCAGCTGAGATGCCCAGAACAGATAGTCCTTTAGTTGCATCAATGCCTAGATCTGGCAAACTCCTCTCTATATATGCCATGGCGTCTTCGGTATCCTCGTGCGGGGCCGGATGGGACCACTCCGGCGTGTGTCTATAGATGACACTCAAAACAACCACGCCAAGCGAGTCAGCCATATTGGCACAGAGGTAATCATCAGACTTCTCTGATCCGAATAAAAACCCTCCGCCGTGAAAATATATTAGGCCCTGTCGTGGATCTTGTCGTTGTCCATGCTGGACGACTGGTGAATATCGGCGTAACGGAATGGTGTGGCTAGCACGAGAAGGAATGGAAAGCGTCGAGTCGTCAACCCGATCTTTCAGACCCGAATCGGCCATCAATTTCTCAGAGGCAACCTCACGATTGGTGTTCACAGCCTGGCGGAGCTGCGAGGCTTCCAGGATATCGTTGCCGCTGAACCCATCTTTGGCCGCAGCCGGGTCGCGAGCGATAAATTCGAGCCATTCCTTGCTCGGCGCTCCGTATCTCGAGAAGTCCATGACAGTTAATGTTCTCAATGGGATTGTGGGAGTTGTAACTACCCCGCGTCCTTTTACGTCCTCACCATTAATTACACACCTGCCCGCACGCCGGAGGTCAACCTCCGAACCGGAACCGCTAAAAGAAACTGACGGGAGTACACAAAAGTTTGAGCAACTCAGAATAGAGCAATGGTTCCTGCTGAACCTTCTTTACGACCACTGCACACGTAGGCCATCTCGATATATTGGTCAGCGATGTTGGGATAATGGGGCTCACGGCGCTGCCCCAGCCATGAATGCCGCGGAATGTCTTAGGGCCTTGATATTAATGTCACCAAGCATGACGCTCATCGTCAAATTCGCGTTTCCCATGGTGCAGAAGGACGAGCTGGAAGACGGAGATTTCACAGGCAACATCGCGAATATGGGCTCCGTAGCCCGTCTACATGGTGGAACCCCAAACTGCTCTACCGGATGAGCAAAGGGCTGCGGACAGCATGGTTCGCGGCGATGGTAACTCATCATGCCACGGCCAAAATACGAGTCAATTGCGTTCGTCGGGTAAGCACTGATCCATAGTCTCCCCACATGGCGTTTGCTAGCAGGTGACCAGCCTCGCGCGTCCCAGGAATGCTCTACACACTAATGATGTACATGTCCGGAGGAATAAATCCGGCAATGCGGAAGGCTCGGCGGAAACACAGTCTACTTCAGACCTCGAGTCCCCCATACTCCAGAAGGAGAGCAACGCGTGGGATTGCACCGGAGCTTTGAGGCTCTTAGGCGCAAACGAGGCGCGGTGGACTACAGGCACAATCTTGACGGTAGACTCTGGCGCAACGTGTGTGGAACTGGTATCAGAGACCTAATAATCACGTAGTTTAAACTACTCAAGAAAGTAAGAATTCTCCCGAGAACCCCGCATTGCCCCGTGGGGATACTGTGGAGAATTAGAGCTGGGGAGTGGACTCTCATTTCCGGATATTCGGACACAGAATCCTTCCTAGCGGCTAGCCGACAATTAGTAGCTTGGGCCGGGGAGATACTAAAGGATCCATGGAGAAGCTGAATTCTTAGGACTGTTGCTGCCCAAACTTTCATCTTCCTTTCCTTTCCTTTCAACACCTACTTGCCATGGCCACCACAGCCGACCACGATCACCCAAAGCATGATAGCGCAGAAGTCGAGGATGTCGAGCTCAAATCAGCTGTCTACAACCCAAGGGCCCACCTCGTCCCCCGGCCATCCGAAGATGAAGGTGATCCGCTCAACTGGCCGATGAAGCTGAAGCTGCTCATCTTGTTCCAAGTCTGCTGGCTTGCTTTTGTGAGTTTAAGTCTTCGTGTAAAGGAAAAACGCTTAATTAATGTTGTTTTATCAGCTTGGAACATGGAATACCTCTGTGATCAACCCGGCCTACGGTCTTCTATCAGAATCCCTTCATATCTCCGAGGTCCAAGCCTCCTACCAGACGTACGTTGGGTACTCAGTGAAATGGAAATACAATCTAACGAATGCTTATCTAGTACCATTGCCATCGCCTTGAACGGTGTTGGCCCCTTCATTTGGATCCCGCTAGCCAACGTCTACGGCCGACGTTTCGTATACCTGTTCACCACGCTGATCGGCTTCGCCACAGCTCTTGGGTCTGGATTCGCAGAATCATACGGTGCACTAGTCGGCGTTCGCGCCATCAATGGCCTCTTCCCTGTATCCATGGCCCTCGGCCCAGCTACCGTGACAGACTTGTTCTTCTACCACCAGCGCGGCCGTGCCCTCGGTATATTTACTGTCATGCTCAGTTCAGGCTCGCATTTCGCTTCCCTGTTCGGTGGACCCGTCACAGCGTTTGTGGGCTGGCGCTGGATTTTCTGGATTACCGCGGTTATGAACTTTGTCACTTTGGTCTTCTTGGTCTTCTTCCTTCCCGAGACCATGTACTACAAGCCTCGGGTTTACTCCGATACCAACACGGAACCTCCAAAGCTGACTATGGCTAAGTATCGCGAGTTGCTGCGGCCATGGACCACCTTCGCAGGTGTTAAGCTCAGGGCTAAGCATATCATCCTACCAGCTTTCCGCATGGGTCTTTATCCATCCGTTCTTTTCCCCAGCTTGTACTATTCGGCGCAGTACTGCTTCACAGCAATTTTCCCTGCTGTTACTTACGCCATTACCTTCAAAGAACGTTTTGGCTGGAACGCACTTCAATGTGGCCTGGCGTATGGAGGCACTATGACCATCGGTGCTCTTGCAGGCGAGGTTGGTTTTATCTTATTCCAAAATCTTGAATCACCAAACTAACTGTGGCGATTAATCTCGATAGCTTGCGGCAGGCAGGATTATTGACAGTATCATTCGACGCGAATCCAAGCGACTAGGCATAGATAACCCACCGCCCGAGGTTCGATTCAAAGGCCTTTGGTCAGGTGCAGCCCTTGTACCAGCAGGTCTCCTCATTTTCGGTTTCACTATGTCTTACAAGTCTCACTGGGCTGGCCCACTGGCAGGCATGTTTATCGGCATCTTCGGAGTCCAAATCGTCGCGACAGTTTGTTACACATATAGTATCGACTCATACCGGGTCGAAGGCTCCGAGGTCGCTCAGTTCTTTAACTTCAGCCGTCAAACCATGAGCTGCACCATTGCATTCTATGCTGTGAAGCTGTGCGATGCCATCGGGTTTCAGTTTGCTTTTCTCATGTTCGCGCTCGTTGGTAGTGGTCTAGCCTTTGCGCCTGTGGTTTGGCTGATGTGGAAGGGCGAAGATATCCGTGAGAGAATGGGTAGCCCGGTTAACGTCAGTGTTGCCGACGATATTATTGCGGATTATAGTGCGGTCTATCAGAATCAGGCCCGTGAGTAGGGCAAGGAAGGGATTTTGCTTAGGCTGGTGACTGGAGTTCATGGGTGCTTGTTAAAAGTTGTATAGCAAGTATTCCGCCGGAATTGACTCGTTATATAGGCAGCAGTTGAGTATTGCCAAACCGAACAAATATACACATTTCTTCCCAATATGTACATCAGGCAAATTGATCGATCAATCAACAACGCTTTTGCTATCCGCCCAACTAGGCTGAATCATGCGGCAAACACCCTCATAATCCTGGAATCGCTGCGAGTCCTCCGTCAAACCTTGCGTTGTCCAAAACATAGTCCAATTGCTATCCGCCACCTTCCAAGTGCCGCACGAGCGCTCAAAGTACCATTTATTCACTGGATTGTCCTTTCGACTGCGCCAGCACACCCCATTCGGAAAGCAGGTGCGCACCATAGCATTAAAGAGGACGTCTGCAACGCCACCGGCACCCTGGCTGCGTTTTAGGACGGCGAATTTGTCCAGATATGGGACCATGCGGGACAGGCTGGCTTCGCTGCCGTCGTCGGCGACGCCGGGAGGTGTTTCCCAGGTTAGGATTGCGCCGCCTTCATATTCGCCTGCGATTATGAGGCCGGCGATGCGGTCGTTGACTCGTTCTAGGTATTTCTTTACATCTAGTTTCCGGTCGAAGGAATCTTCGATCAGATGCACTAGTCGTGGTAGGTCGATAGATGGATCGTTTAGTTGCAGGCGTGGCTGACTCTGTGCGGTCCACACCTGAACGCGGGGATCGGGGAGAATGGTGAGAGGCATCCCGCGCTTGACGACGGTTGTATGCGATGAGAGGGGGTTGATTGCGCTCGGCCCACCAACATTGGCCGCACCGCGTCGGCGCGGCGGGAGAGAGGACGAGAGTAGAGGCTTGTCGGTGAGAAGGTTGTGGATGAGGGGATTTCGTTGGCGTCGAGTGCCGACGGCTGAGAAGTCTGCCGCAGCTGGCTGGCGTGGACAGGCCGAGTTGGCAACCTCATGTGGGGAGGTGATGATGCCGGAAGACGCAGATGGGAGCATTGCAAGGGTCTGCTGGGATAACCGGAGATTCTTGAGGTGTCCATCAAGCGCTCTTGCCACTGTCTCGATGCCGGGTAACTGGCCCGACTGTTCTGGCAGGGGGGAAACAACCTCGTTATTCACGAATTTCGAAAATGGGTTGCTGTTGATAATCGATGATGCCGCCCCAGGGTTCATCGGAGATATTGACTGTGTACCTTGCGCAGAAGCTGTATCTATGTGTTGAAGCAGTTCGTCCTCAAGCTCGTCAAACTCCTGCTCCATGTTGATGAACACATGAGACATCTGCGGGCCATGGAAGGCTGGAATGCCCCCTAAAGGATCCAGAATAATCACACGATCCAGCGAAACCTCTTTTTGAAGACGCTTAATTCTCTCTGCGGTGACTGTCGGGTCTTCATCCGGGTCTGGATACGTTGACAGACCCGCAAAATCTTTGGTCAAGGCAAGCACCACATCATCAGCAGATACCGGGATGGCTCTAGGACCATCTTCTGTATATGCAATAGGGGAAACAACGAGAACATGCCCATTTCGAAGGGGGTTTAGCAGCGCCTTGCGAGACATAATACTGAGACTGCCAGTATTTGAAATAGATAAAGCCGAGTCCAGACGGAAGGATTTTGAGTCGGGCTGCGAATCAATGGCCGCCGAGATCCGATTTGCTTGCTCCACAGATACTTGTCGCACCGTAGAAGCATCTTCAAGTTTCCCCGGATCGACCACAAGGCAGCATGCCATCCCCAGACGGATGAGCTGCGACAAGGTCTTGGCCACTCCATCTACAACCTCGTCCTCTAGCGATTGGGGCGCGGTGATCTTGACTAGAGCCAGATGAAGCCTTTCGGGGTATTCTTGCCCCTGTGGAGCCGGTGTGGTATCTTGCCGGAATACGGGGCTGTCGTAAACTGCCCTTGAAGCGCCATAGAATGAGCCGAGGTTCACGCCGGATGGTAGTGAAGCTGGCGAGGATTCCTTCTTGGATTCTTTAGAGGGTTTCTGCCCGGGCTTGGGGGGCTTTTCTTTGAAACGAGAGAGGTACGATCTGGCCTCTCGTTTGGTCGAGGCAGAGCTCAATAAACTGAGAAAGAACTCCTGTGACAGACAGATACTTTAGCAATTGAAGCTCCATTGCCGTGTAGCGCCCTCCAAACATACCCTGTCGAGCAGCTTCTCCTTTGCCCGGTGGCCTAGCCGAGCCTGGTTCATGCTGGCACCTGAGAATTCGGCGAACTGGGGTCGCTGTAGGGGCGGGTGCGTCGCGGGGTCATTGGGACGGGAGGCCTATTAAGGAAATAAGTCAGTGGGAGCTTCTGATTCAACGTCCTGTGAGGCTCACCGTCCGCAAAGCTGTCCGCGGCCAGCCCAATGTCCGAGAGCTCATTTTCCAGCTGGTCCACCATTCATGTCGGGGGGAAAGAGTGCACATGACTCTTGGAGTCGGAGGAAGAGTTGAGTCAGCCCAAAAGCCGCCACCGCCTTGGTCCTTCTTATCCACACTATATAGTCGCGGATGATATATACTGGGGATATTATAGCCCTTTCTGCTGTGACTTTCGAATTTGGGATTTCTAGAACCCTGGGCGATCGACACCCGGGATTCGTGGCGTTCTGGCAGGCAAGTCACCGGTACGGGCAGGTACTTGGCGGACTAAGGGAGCTCCGACGGGTAAGCAGTACTGCCAGGTCGTGGGATACTGGTCGGGAGCGCACCCCGCCACCTTCAGTTTCCTTCGCCGAGACTCACTCACCAATTCTCTCCAACGTCCGCCCGGCTCAACCCCTGCACCGGACGACCCGCATTAACGAAATTGTAAGTGTTGTCTACGTTTACTCTCCGTTATCCGCTCCTTTCTAGCCCACTGCTGCCCCTCCAAGCGCGCACACTTCGCTGGCGCAGATTCTTATCGGCCACTGGGTCCTGGTCCTGGGGAGGAAAAAGACCCCCACCAAGGACCACATGGAATCATTGAGGAT